ACTAAAAAAACAAAGTTTGAGCCACCATTCAGAGTCAAAAGAAAGTAGAATACTTCTGTTTTTAGCCACATGCAAAACACACTGATTCATGAAACTGAAAAAAATATATTTGAAAGCAATGGTACTTTCTCACATTATTCAGAGTATTTCATGATGATTTCAACCAAATTTAATAAAAGAATAGTTTTTATAGCCAAGCCAACAAAGTGCAAAGAGATAGAGATACCATCACTGTCAAATTTTAGAAAAACAAAAACGGTTACAGTTTAATAAACTTTGGTGTGTGTAATAAAGTGTTAACTACTCTTTAAAATTGTGAATAACACTGCTCCTTCCCCACTGAAGCACTTTGTCCAACTCTGCTCTGAGCAGACAACCAGGAGCTCCAAGTCCATGAGAAAAACCAAACATAGCTCAGCATTTGCAGAGACAGCTTTCTCATTTAAAGGGATTAAAGAATGGAACAAACTCCCACAAAGTCTTAAACTTTCTGCTGACCTGAAGGACTTTTCACCAGGAAAGCATTATTAGAAAGCAAGCAGTGTCAGCACTGAAAATTAAAACAGTAATTAAGGCTTTTGATTCTGACTAACTGTGGTAATTTTGTATTTACAATGATTCTAAACAAGATATGCATGGACATTAAATGTATTATGGTATGTATAACTTTAGACTGCTGTATTAACCCACCTTCTAATGGACTACAAATGGAAACCTGATTAAATTAATCTGGTGCAAAAGTTTTTCAAATTTTCCAGCTAAACTAACTAAAAACAAACAATCTAAAGAACTAAGCTGCCTTAGACAGAAGTGAAAGAAAGAAATCTGAGTCTAATTTACTGCCCTGAGAACCACATTTGGCAGACATTTAGTTCAGGACTAATAATAAACATGTCCATTTTTATTTCTAAATTTTATTTTAACTATCCATTGGCACAACTTTTTAAAACAGATGCATGGCACTTTACCTTGCTATGTTGCTTTATCATCTTAATAGTTTTGCGTTGTTAAATGCTCACCTGGTAACATCCTAATTAGCTAAAGATATTAATGTTAAAAATGTCCTGCTTTTAAATACTTTATGATAGTCACTATGCAAATAAACAATAAAGAAGAAAGAAAGATATCGATAGTAACCTAACTAAACATCATACTGAATGCATCTTAAGGAGTGATTTTGACTGAAGGAGCTTTCCACGCACCAAGTTTTTAATTTGTTTTTATAAATTTTAAACTGGTTTTATGTCAAGACACATGGTTGATTGGACCTCTTTTGCGTAATTGGCTGCAAGTTTGGGAAGATTTTCCTCCTGAAAATTTAGCTCTATTTAGCTTCAGCTTCTTAATAAGACTGTCACAGGACATTTTCATTACTTAATCCTTCCTTTGATTATACAAGGTCTCCTCTTACCTTATGCTGAATATGCAGCATCCCAAATTATGATGTTCTAACCTCTAAAGTTCAGTGTTGGTATGCTGCTTTACCTAGTGTTAATTCTCTTCAAAACATTGTGTGTGCAATGACTTTTAAAGAGTTCAACTTCAGTCCCAATTGATCAGACTATATTCTTTCAGTGCTTTTCAAATTCTCTGCAGCAAATTTTCAGTGTGACTCAACATGCTCCATCTTCAGCAAATCAAATCACATTTTACTTGTATAGCACCTTTCAGCAGCAAGGGATTTCAAAGTGCTTTACATAATAGAAAAAAAAACTAAGTTATGGAACACTGTTAACATTACATTTTGCAGATAGTTTTTCAATTAAAAAACTGTATATTAATTTCAACTCCCGCTACTAAGTATCTTTCTGTGTGTGGCATTTGGATCTTGGAAAACTCGTCTGATTAATCTTCAGCTCATTTGAACACTCGGCTGTTTCAAAATGTCTGCAGCCAATGCCATCATGTTCTCTAGCAATGAGATTGCAAACACTTCTAAATAGGTTTCACCAACTATGACATGCATTTAGTCTATCAGTTTGGAAATCTGAGATCAAAGAATAAACCATTTGATGGAAAACTGCATTAATTGGGAGCCAGATTACTTTATATGAAAGATCAATTTTCAGTTTTCTTTTGGGTCTCATTTTATCAATGTATTCAATTCCTATTTGTGTTCATTAGACCTTATTACACAAAGCTTAATTTAGAGGTTAATTACTTTCAAATTATTTGTAAGTGTCAGTTACTTGGTTCTCCTGATACTTGTAAATCTGATGTTGATCGCTTCATTGGAAATGTGGTTATAACCCTCATGAGAATATAAACCACAGTTACATTTTGGATCGCGTGGAAACACATGCAAGAATGACAGACCGCTGACATTCCAAACAAACTGATGAAGCAAAAGAACAAAAAATCTCCACAGCCTATTAAGAGCGACTCAACAAGCTAATTAGTGACAAGAGTCATCTGCCTGAAAAGAATCACTGTCAACACAGTACTAAATGTGCAACCACATCTGTAAAGAATGTTCTTATAAGTCACTATGGAAGTTACTGCTTACATGTGTCTTGGTCAGGAGTTACCTTAAATGAAAGTGATCTTAAGTACGAGTTACAGAGGTAATAAAAAGAAAGAAAAAGATGAGGGACCAAAATACCATGGTGCACAACACAAGTGTTGAGAAGTGACATGATATGTGGAGAATAACAGTAAAATAATTCAAAAGGAACTGAGATTTTCAAAAATTGTAGATTTAGAAGTACAATGATGGAAAGATGAATCTCAATTAAAGGTGTATCGAGCCATCTCGACAGTTGATAGTTTGAAGAGTCAAACTATCAACTAACCAACATCTTATCATGCTGTTTGTCACATTACTCATACAATATAAAGTGGAAAGATAACTTGTTCGCAAAGTAACCTGACTGAATTTGTCACTTCATGTCCACTGACATAAACACATGACCATCTGCAGTGTGTAATGATGAACAGTCTTGGGAGCCAGCAGCTGGGGTTTGTCATGGCAAATATTAAGCTATCTCCAACAGTGTGTGCCAGTCAGGCTGTTTATCACAGCACTCATCCCTCTTTTAATAAGTCTGCCTGCCCACCTCAGCAGAGAATGCACAAAACAGATGCAGCTGTCAAAGAAGAGAAGTGAAGCAAGGCTCTGGTTGTTTGATTAGTTTGGGGCTGAGCTCCTCTCTGGATCCTGGGAAACTTGCCAGTCAGAGAGGAAAACTATCACTGAGATCTCAGCAAACCAAGAGAATAGATGTGTACTTATTCATCTTCACTGGCAAATAAAAATACAACTAAATCAATTCTGAAAATCATTACATCTATCATTGTGATGTAGAGATAATAAGAGACCATTAATACTTTATGGCAGGACTATGAATAGAAAGATTGATGGTAAGTTCAGCCATCATATGAGATTTCCTCTTATTTCATCATTCCTTCCCAAACTGTATTGAGCTAGAAATCAATAACTGAGTATGCAATAGTCCAGGGAAGACCAATTTTTAACTTCAGGTGGGCCAAACATCACCAGCAGTGAAGTGTGTGTGGTCAGTGATCGCCCTTTAAAAATACAAACACACTTCTCATATTCACTCACTTGGCTTTAAAGGGGAAGTCAAAAATGGGTGAGAGCTCTACAATAAAGAGACCTTTCTTTCACTATTCGTCTGAGACACTCAGTCATTCAGAATGGTGTCAGTGCCTCAGTGTGAGCTTTTCCAATATACAGACATAGTGTAAAAGTACTAATGCCCCTTCAACTTAATCCTGTTTTGTCACATCACAGCCCAAACTTCAACATGTCTTACTGAGTTTCTTATGTAACAAACCAACATAAAGCAGTCCATAATTGAAGTGGAAGGAAACAGTTTTTTGAATGTTTTACAAATAAAAACCAATATTCAACGCTTTTGTGTCAATATTTTTCAAAATGGCCAAAACAAGTCGAGAATGTTTTACCTAATAGCACCTGTGAAATGTTGATTTCCTTACTGTATATTTTAGCTGCGTATATGTGGTTTATTGATGTAATTCCTGGTTAAATGTAAGCTAAATACAACTAAATGCTTCAAATAGACAGACACAATGCTCATTTCTCACAAAAGTTGGAATCATTGTTTATTCTTAGAACATAAAGCTTTCTCAGAATGTATTTGCATATTGTTTTGAAATTTTACCAAGAGACCGAAACTTGTGTGCTTTTTGAAATATCACAAATAGTATTAATAAATGCTAAAGTTTCATTATTAAATAAAAAAAGAAAACACAAACTATTTTTTTCTTGCAAAACTAACTTTTGTAAGAAAGAGTTGGGATTATATATTTTTTTGATAATGAGCTATGAGCCTTGGACTAGTACCAACAAAATGTCCAACATCTTGACTCAAACTAATGATTTTCTGTTTTGTCCCAATTATTCACAAAAACTCAACTCAGTCCCTGCGAAGAAGCAGCAGCAAAACATGTTTTATCGTGGTGGAAAAGTGATTATATCCAAACCTAGAGATTAAAGACCTCACTTGCCTGATATAATCTTAATTCTGCAGTGATTAATTACAATGCATGAGAAACACAGAGTGCAGAGCAAGGTCAGCGTTGTGATCACACGGCACTTTGCTGCTTCTTTCACACATTTCTGACTTTAAAACCCATATTAGAAGAAGAGCAGGGAAGTTCACAAAACATGAAAAGCAAGCCAGAAATGCTGCTAATCATCACTGGCAACAACACAAAGAGTGAGCCTACTTTTACGCTGTGCTGCCCTCTCCTGTTCACAGCCATTATTACACTCCAAAGTATACATTTTTATTGTTTATTAAATGCATTCTTCTCTTTATAAAAGAATAAAACAAAGTCCACGCAGGAAGAATTATTCCAAGAAAGAAGAAGCACCAACAGTCTGGATGAAAATAGCAGACAGGATAATGATGGCTACTTTTAGGTACATGCACTGCAACCATCATCCACGAGAAACCGAACATGTCTGTGCTTCAAGGGAACAGCTCATCAGGTCACAGCTGAAGATTGCTTACCGTGCATCGTCCTGCCACACACAGATTTATTTCATTTTGTCCACACGGTGTGCCATCAATCACCCTGTCTGACTGTCGCACGTAGAATCTGAACCCAGTGGCCCGGCAGTTCAGCTCACAATGCTGCTCCCCAGGAACTGAGAGAAGATCAAAAGGAGTGAGACATGTAGATATTTTGAGATCCTGATGGTTTCACACAATGTATTAGCAAAAGAAAACAGTGTCAAAGTATAAAAGACAATGACAGACTTGACGTATCATTGATTAAAACAAGGTAATTCATTTAGACTGTTAACATGAATTTGATAAAAATTCAATGGTTTCTAACAGGGAAACAATATACACAAAAGGATAAAACTAAAAGAATGTGTTACAATATGTCCATTGACAAACTTGTTTCACATTTTGTCAGGTTAAAACCAGAAACTTTAACAAGTTTTATTGGAATTTTGTGCGCATGAATTTTCACCCATTCATGCACACACTCAGGGTGGCAAGCTACTGGATAGTAATAAAGCGCAGTCTGACAGAAAGAAGGCTGCCAGGCACCGGCGCCACCGCCACCAGGTCCTCTGACCAGCAGGCAAAGTGGATGAAGTGTTAACAACAGAGGCAGGAGGAGCTGGGATTTAGAGGAGCTCCAGAAATTCAGATCCATCAATCTCACTGACTTTTCCTTTGGACTAAACACATCACAAGCCTTGCTTGCTGGTGATGCTCACCAATTGAATGGCAGTTTGCTCTAAGGTAGGTGTGGCTAAAATGTAGCTTAACACCATCAGTATGAATGCAAGTATGAATGACTAAACGTAGTGTGAAGCACTTAGAAGTTCTTGCAAATCATCAGGTCCCATACAAGTGTCAATTTACCATTTGACACTTGTATACTGGGCAGAAATAATTATAATAATGAAGCCTACCTTCATTAAAAGGTTCCCATTTATAGAGTCTGCCCATGAAAGGCTGGTTGTTGTAGGAAGAACACTGAACCGCTCTGATGTCTTTGCTGGACGGAGGACAATCCTGAAATGAACAAGAGAAAGTGTAAACAAGCATTTATTTTTCCATAAACATGTAAAATCATCAGTAACAACTAATGGCTCTTACTGTCATGTTCTGACAAATAGTTGGAGTCCACTGTCATGTTCGTGAAACTAGATCTCACTGAAGTCTCAACAAATTTTTATTTGGTGAGCCTCCTGATTTAACAGGAGGAAAATATAAACTGAAACATTGCCCACTAATTTAAATACACAGACGTGTTGTGGCTGACTGAAAACTGGTTTCCATAGATTGCTGCTTCATCTTTTTTCACAGGTTTCTATTTTACTCTGAAGATTAATAATAAACAATTCCTGACATTCTCAAAACGTTTGGCTTGTTTGTCTTGCCTGTACCATAAAACTTTTCCTTGATTCCAGGTGTTCTGAATACAGAATAACTTATTTTTTCTTGATTTATTGGCATATCTGAGAACAGAAGGCTGCCTAGTTTAGCACTGTTGACTTGCAGAGAAGAAGTTTGTGGCTCGTATGAATTTCTGTGTAAAGTTTGCATGTTCTAACCATGTATACATGTTTTTTCTGGATAGACTGGCTTCTTCACACAGTTCAAAAACATGGCTCTGTTCAACTAAATCCTAACACTACTACTGTGGGAGTCCAGACATCCATACATTACTGTTGCAGATCCTGTAGTGAGCGTGCTCCCCTGTACAGAAGGATGAAGGCAGTGGGTTGTAAGGTCTCTCCTGGTACAGCTGGTGGCTGGAGGTGTGACTCCCAGTCTGGACCTCAGCCTGTTTGGAGGATGCAGGCTGGTAAAGGGAAGTCCAGAGTTGTTTTTTCCTGGGATGTTGAGTCCTGGGATGCACATACACCCTGGTAAAGCGATGGAGGTTGTTGGAGGCATCCAGTTTGTGTGATCTGAGGTCGGTGTGCCCTCTAGGAAAGGCCTGAAGGGAGTTAGCAGCAGGAGAGCGTTTTTGTCTGTGGAGGCGAGGCGAAGCTGAGCCTCTGCCTGAATCCACTAACAGTGGAGCCACATGAGGTGCCCGTCCATATCCATACTTCCCTGGGACAATGTGGGTGACCTTCCTGGAAAAGTAAATGTAGATTATGATGTATTTATCCCAAAATTAACACATTTTATCTAAAAAATAAGATTTAGTGAAGAATTATTAATTGTTTTTAAAAACCACCAGTATTTCTCTAGGAAAATGTCAATGTGCTTTTTCTCTTTTTCACATAGAGTCCAACTGAAACAACTTCTTCAGCTGTCAGCATTATTTGCTTAAAGGCAAGCCTGACAGGAAGGAGGCCACCAAGCTGCCAAACACAGGCTAAACTTTTGACTGTAACTACAAAAGACTGGCTTTCCACTGGACGGCAGTCAGATGACCCAGAGAGGCGGCTCCAAAGAGTCACTTTTACATCAGGCTGCTCAGCATGCAGCACACATCCCAACAAATGCATGAGCTTTATAAAGCCAAGTGTACTTAATGTTTCTGACATTTGAGACAGCTTGTCTTTAATCGATGCAACAATGAAGATAAAATAAAAAATCTTAAGAAGTTGATATTTTAAATGCCTAGAAATTTAGGACAGATCCGTAATACACAAGAAACTTCTCCTATGGGCAAATTAATCTACCTGAGCTGAGATCTTTGCAGCTCCTCCAGGGCAAACATAAACCGCTTGCAGAGTGTTTATCAGCTTCTTTGATTAATGCTCTACTTGCTCCACTTCATGGGCATGTCTTTATAACTTTAATTTTGGCATCTTCCATTTTTAGATGATTAAATGAACTGTGCTCCATGAAATGATTGCTTTCATTTGTCCTTAGGTATGATTGTCTGTAATGGACTGGTGACCAATCCAGGGTGTACCCCACCCCTCACTCAGTGAGATTGGCACCAATCTCACCGTAACCTTACAAAGACAAGCAGGCAAGGACAATAGATGGATAACCTAAAACTTATTCAACTTTTTCCACAAAGTTCTCAATGTCTGTCTTCAAAGAACATTTGTATATAGATGAAATTGCACAGAATAAGTCTGTTTAATTTTCAGGAGACATATGATAGCTGTGTTTGTTTTTCTTTGTAAAAAAAAAAAAGTTTCACCTTTGCAATTATGCCTTTCTTTATGTTTTGTTAAAGCTTAATTAACACAAAGATAATTATGCTTAGAATCCCAATATACAGTAAGACAAAGTGTGTGAATGTTCAAAGGGTATTATAATGTTTGCATACCACATCCTGTATACAATGTCCCAGGACAGACTTTCTGAAGAGCTCAGTGAAGTAAGAGCATTACATCCTTAAAATGCCATTCTGTTCTACAGAAGCCTGTTAATCGCTCTTTCATTTAAGATAACAGTAAGGCAGCAGGGAAGGCATAAAATAGTTTCAATTTTATTTATGAAAAAAGTGATCTCACTGTTTTCTTACCTGCGTTCGCCTGGCCTGCTCTGCTTCTCCCTCCTCAGCTCTCCCCTGCTGCTGCTGCTGTTGTCGAAGGCTCTGACACCACTGTGGCGTGGAGCAGCAGCAGGTTTCAAAGCTGAAATGACATGGCCTGGCTGCTGGGGCTGAACGGCAGCTCCTCTGGAGGGGTATTGAGTGTACACAGGCAGACAGGGCCTTGTCTGTTCTTGTACCCCTTTCCCACATGTCCGGGAGCAGGTTGACCAGGCACTCCAGGTGCCCCAGGCTCCCTGAATTTCCCCATACTCCGCCCTGAACTCCTGTTGAGACTCTGTCCTCTGAGGCACCTGTACGGACGCAACAGAGCTTATATTAGATAAGCAGCTAAGTGTAAAAAAGTGGGGCAGGACGTTTAGATGTGAAAGCCAAGTACTCATGGGAAGCATTCATCAACAAGACTTTAATCTCTGCGGATCTTGGTTTGGAAAAACGCTCAAGTCAGTGACCTCATCTCCTCACCATGAATATCCTGATCCGCCACCTGTACATGAAGCAGACCTCTGTTCAGTGTAATAAAACCCTCATCTGGCTGGTTAGCCAGCATCTATTAGTAGCCTGTCCCTGATTGGCTACCTGAATTACTCCCTGTTGACTCTACTTTTCTGTGCAACTGCGCCAGGGACGTTTTAGCAGCGATCAGTGAGCTCACTGTTTGAGTAACGGTGTGCCAAACCGGCATTATGTATGGAAATCCTACTTCTTTGAGGAGCACTTTGTCTCTATTCACATCACTCTCTCTGGGCAAACACATGGCTGCAGAAAAAACTTAGCGACCACCAAGTTTTAACGGATGAAAAGAGAATACAGGAGCGGCAGGGGGAGTTGGCAGGAAGCTCCTCAGATGTCAATCAGCCTGGGTAGCTATTCAGCAAGACCTCAGAACTCCCCGCCCCTGGCTCCTTTACTCCTTCAACTCAATGCCACTGTCATCTCTGGGTCAGCATCGGGTCACGCAGCTGGATTCCAAGTGGAAGCACGTGAAGTCAACTTCGCACAAACTGCCTTCCAACTTTTAACTGAAGGGACTGTAGATGTGTTACTGAGCTTCACACGTGAGTTTCTTTCTGTTCCTGCAGGGTTCAAGAGGTGGTTGTCTGACAGCTGGAACCTGCCTTCTCCGTGTCAATGGGTGCACTCACTACTTCTCAGAAGTTTGCAGATTATGAGCAAAATGAGATTCTTTCAGGAGGTAATCTAACTGGCCACATGGAGTAAGGATGTTTTAATAATTGTCTGACACTCAGTTTGAATGGGGACCAAAACTGCAACATTTGTCACATTTTCACACTGTGCCAACCCAAACACCTTTGAGCAACCCATTCTCCACAGTGCCTGTGGTGGCACTGCACCCAGAATTACTGAAAGAATTGCACAAAATTACACAAAACATATCTCAAAAAGACATTGATTTCAACTTCCTTCTTCACAAAATGTGAACAAAAGTGAAATGGAAGCACCACATTTTAGCAGTAGTGAAATTTCTCTTTTGTCCTTTTTGTAAAAGTCCACAATCCCATTTGTCCAGACTTGTTCGATTGTTTTTACCCAGAATGCCCTACTCTATGACGGACCCCCTGAATGTTATTTTACATCGCGCCTGCGCACAACGCTGGAGGGAAAAATATTATTTCACATGGTAGAACAATTCCGTTAACTAAATGAAGCCGGGCGATATAGGTATTCCTAATTTGGTCATATGTGCCACAACCAAAAAATAACGGAGAAAAGACGCCGAAGAACAACTCAAGACTACTTTTTTTCCTCCCTCTGTGTCGGCTACGCTACGCGCAGACTCGTCATTTCCCACACAAAAAACAGAACATTCAGTCCGTTACAGCGCCATGTTTTTAGGCTTGGTGATTATTTTGCAATTATTAATAAATTGTGGCAGATTAGCTACTGCTGCTATCAGCTAATCCAGCACTTCAGTGGTTGATTAGCTAATTAAAACACTTGCTCAGATCTGTCAGAGTTGGCGTGTCGGTCGCCATATTTTTGTTTTAAGTGAACCGAAACGCACCGAATTCCACATCGACATGTTCCGGTTGTCAAAGTCAGGCAAGGATAACTGAACTGCTTCCCCCTCCCTCACGATTTTTGTCTTAATTAAAATGTTTTTCTGACCTTGTTCTCTAGTTGTCGAAGAGTGTACAATTAAGTTGCAAAGCACAGCGTCCCGTTTTCTTTTATATACCAGGCTTGCATTTAAGATTTAGCACGTTATATTGATGGTAACTTTGCTAAACCAGTCGAAGTCATCGTCAGCCAGCAGCTTTTTCAACCTACAGCAGGAAGATGGAGGCGGGTTCTTGCGCCCGTAATCTTCTTTTTTGACAATAGCCTACCCTATAAATTCTCTGAGAGGTTTAGATCACGCAGGTTTGTGGGCCAAACAAGCACAGTGATACTATAATTATTAAACCAGGTATTGGTACTATTGGCAGTGAGGGCAGCCATCACGTCATTCTGGAAAATGAAATCAGCAACTCCACAAAGCGTGTCAGCAGAGAGAACCATAAAGTACAGTACAATTTCTTGATAGAGGACTATATACCAACTTTAGATTTGAGAAAACATGGAGCATCGATACTACCAGATAACATGTCTCCCAAAATTCTCATTGAACTCAAACTAGAAAACTTTAACTCTGGGAAGTTGGTGTCCAGATCAATAAATACATGTAAATTAAGTAATTTTCTTCTAAAGGCAGAACTTTGGAACATTAAGCAAAAGATAATTGATTTTTCTTCTTGGCCCACATGATACAGTTCTGGTTGCTCTTGGTTTTTCCAGCTTCCATAGCATTGACTTTTTCTGGCTTAACCCCATTATGGAGAGTGTCAGTGACTCTGCTGGACCCTAGTCAGGTCAACACTCTTCCAAATGAAAGTGGAGGCAATGAGAAATGACCATCACATTTCTGTATTTTTTCTTACTGATGACTTATAGGACTTATACTCTGGAGAATATGGTATTCAAACCGTCAAGCTGAGGAAAAGTTCACAAATTTCACCAAATGTGCGATATTCAATGAACTCCAAGTCTAACAAAGTATAAAAACCTTTTTAATTTAATTACTAACACAAATTTCTGGCCAAAGGCTGCTCTATTTTGTTGATCTGTAATATGCAAATATTGCTCACCTTCCTGTGATCTGATGTTTGTTGACTGTCCAGGAGTTGTGACCAAAGCAGGAGCTGAACAGATAGTCTGCAAGCAACAGGAAGAAATTATTATTGTTCAAAATTATAGTTTTGCACAAAGGTACCACATTTTAAACTGTAATTCAATTATATTGTGATTCGTATTTTATAATAAAATAAAAAGGCCCAAAAGAAAACTCAAAGCAAACTGGTAAATTACCTGATGGACCAAATCCTGACTTCAAGCATGACGACTCGTTCCACAGCGTTGGACACTATGTGTGCAAACAGAAAATAATGGTGCCTTCTAATTCACTTTTTTGAGAAGAAAAATAAAAGCCTTTAAAATGTATTTAGTCTCACCAAGTGTCCACTTCTTGACTTTTCTTTTCTATTCTCAATAAGAATCATTCAGCTTGAACACCCACAGACAGTGACTCTGGCAGAAACCGTTAAAGTCTTCCACCCACTTGACCATGTGAGTTGACCTCTGACCTTTTTGGCTCCTAATGAGGGAGCTCCTCTAGTGAAATCCCCCCCCCCCACTAGCAGACAGCAGATCTAAAATTCAGCTAGAGAAAGCCTTTCACCTCTCAACCCCACACTATTTAACTCAGTCATGATTTGCACGTTGTCCTATTTAGGTTCACTGAAGCAAAAAGGCTTTCGAACGCGTCCTGATAACAATTCAGCTTGTACTGATCGCAGGGGAACAGTGGCTTATTATCTGCAAACATTTAGAAAGATGCAAATAACTATGATTACATCAATAGAAACCACAAAGTTAAGACAAAATCTAATACCTGCATTCTTCTCACACTCACCTGCAGCCTAATGATGAAGCGTTTCTGCTTTTTATACTGGTGTATCCTCTCCAAGCGCAGGCATCTTCACAATGAAAACTTGAATCTGTGAAGAAATGAAGGGCTTCCCTCTCAATACCTGGTGCAGATCCATGTGACCCACTGAAACCATGTTGGGAATTCGGGATCAATCAGACTATAAGCCCCGTGTATAGCTCTTCATTGCGACTCCAGCGGTTCTGCTTTTACGCGCAAACACAAGGACTGTGACAGAGAGCTGAAAACTGACACGGCAGAAGGAAAACACCCTCTGCTGCGCCCCCTGCCTCAGCCAGCCTACTCCACTTTGTTCTTTGAGCTGTCATGTAAAAAATACGGAGGTGGGAGTCTCCTCCTGCTTTTTTCCCAGAGTGCGCGCTTGGATTTGTCTGAGCGTGAAGGAGAAGCAGAGCAGTTTAGGGTTTTCAGTGGATCAGCCACATCAACACTCTGGCACTCCTTTTGCAGGGCTGACACAAAAGCAGCGCACACAATTAATTACTCATCGATTAGTCATTAACACATGTTTGAGCCAATATCTGACAAACTGCATTAAGCGGTATTATGCTGTTCGCTGAGTCAGTCTGTCCAACTATACTTAATTGATACCATTGCCTTGCAAAAACCTTCATACTCCTTAAACATTTTCACATTTATACTCAATCAAAACCTTTGATTATTGTTCTAATTGGACAAACTCATAGTAGTGCATAATTGTGACCTACTGTATAAAAAAACATGCGTGGTTTTGAACTGCTTAACAAATACAAATCTGAAAAGTGGGGTGAACATTTGTTTTCAGCCCCCGAAGTAAATCATTTGCAGTGTCTTTTAGGGTGTGTCTCTTTCTGTTTTTCACATGCGTTTGCCCTGGTTTTACCTTCATCCATCTTCCCAACAGTTACTCTGCTCAATAAAGCTATCCCCCAGCATGACACATTCATCACCATGTTTCCCGGTGTGATGGTGAGTTTAGAGTGATGGGCATCATTAGTTGTTTTATTAACATTATCTCATTTTATTGAAATGCTATTGCAACCATGCCTAAGTATTCCTGGAATAATAGTAATAATAAATAAAAATTAATATCTGACAAAAATTCAACTTTTAAATAAATTTTGTCTAAAGAAAGGTTGTGCTCAAAATTAGCATTGTTTGTAATTTATTGGAAAACCTGTCCCAATTAATGATTCAAAATCTAGATTTTTTAAAACATGGCTATGATATAAATTAAAAACAGTTGAGACATTATTTCATTTTAATTCTTTATATGTCTTTGACCCAACACAATTTCTTTATTCACAAATAAAGCAATTAATCCTTTAAGCAAACTAAGTATAGAAGATTAGTAATAAGTCTTTAATTTTTTTTAAGCTTCTATGTGCCCTGAGACATTCTTCACTCACTGTCTGCACTCTGTTACTAGTCTTGGAGTTGTGTTGAAACTGCTCGCTGTGTTGGCAGCTGAAGTCGTCTAAACTGTCACAGTGTCTCAGCACAAAGCAGTGATGCTATCACAGTTGTTCAAAAGGAATTTACAGAAGCTTTTCTGACAGCACATGCTCACACAGACTGGACTCCTGTCAAAGCAGAATGAAAGATTTTATGTAAGATCTTCAGACTTTGAATATAACAAGATGCTTGTCTCCATATTGAGTTGAACTAGTGGTTAGAGTCTTTCACATGGAAAGAACTTCAAGTGTTGCACAAGTATTTCCTTTACTAGATCTTTAACATATCTCCTTGCACCTTGGGAGTCTTTGAAATTGTGCGAGTAACTTTTCTGGACCTTGAAATCTATAACAAACAGCAATAACTAGCTGAAACTGATCACGTTGAAGTCTTAACTCCACACCACTTCTACTTTTTGAATTAAATTAGTGCAAGTAATTAACCATGCAATTATATGTTTAATTTAATAAATTATTTACCGCCTCAAAGCTGACATAAAAACAGCTAAAAAGATGTGTAATTTAAAAAACTAACTGAAGAAAAAAAACATTACATAACACATAAACTGACTGATTTAGGTAAGATATCTGTAACCAAGGCACTGATCTCCGACAGAACAAGTACCCCAGACAGCAGAGCAGGTTTGTTAGTGTGAAGCTGTTTGACAGTTGATTTCACTTCAGTTATTTGTTCTCCCTTGACTTGTCTGGGGTTGAAGAGGTTATTAGGGAGGGCTTAAGCAAAGGTGAGCAAGAATATAAGAGAAGCAGGTGAAGCCTCTACCTTCAGGGACATTCCAGGGTTCATGCTTGACACTAAACAGAGAAGCTTCACCTCAGATATGACTTTATACTTGCAATGGTCCCTTCAAAATGTCTCAGCTTGACTTTGGATCTGGTCAAAAGAATTTTTGAATTTTAAGAACTTAGCATTTGCTAGTTTGCATGAATGACAAATAAAAAAATGCAATTTGTCTGATTTCTCTTGTTACCACTCAGTCTGCGTATGATTGGTTGAACTTTTGAGTTTTAAAGTGGAAAATGTTTTTGTTTAAATTGTATATTCTTACTTACTCATACTTATGTATGCAAGCTGGGTGCAATGCATACATTGGATTGCAATGTATCCATTACATACATACATTGCAATGCATACATTTTCTTTCTGTTTTATAGTTTATTAAGGCTTTATCTGCTTAATCCAGTAAATGTTTCTAGAGAAGCGTCAAACTTTAACATTTGTGGTTTGATTCATCATGATAAAAAACACGAGGAACCTCCAGACATACAAAACTTGCAGAAGAACAAGACAGCCTATCCAGGGACCCAGTGCATCAACTAAACCAAAGAACGGGGCTGAGAGATGACAAAACTCTCACTGTCACATTGAAACAAGGCACTTGGTTTAGTTTATGGTAGTTCTGTTACTAAAAGCTTGTCTGAATACCCAAAAACTAAAAACAAACCTTCAATTATACATCAAAGTTTTCAGAAAATAGATCCAATAAAACTATGAACACAAACTTTGTGCTAATGCATAATCTTTTAATACTAAGTACAATACAGAAAGTCAGTAGTAAACAAAAAAGACCGTGTGTTTGTTTGTGCCTTTTCTTTCATGTCAGGCAGGACGAAGTGAGTTAATAATGCATGATGCTGATTAGAGGACAGAAAAATCCTTCTATTCTCCAGAAAAATACTCTGGTAATTTTCAGTCGAGGACGGTGCAGGATTTCATTCAGAAAGCTTTTAAAGTGCAGAGGATTTTTTTTTAGGGTAGTCAGTGCACCACAAGTCAGTGAGTCCTTTTAAGCTTCCTTAGGCATGATACAGCTCCACACTCTGAGGAACGGAATCAGTGAAGTTCTACATTCAGTCAAGATGTGCTGACAATTTTACAGACATCTTTAAATCCTCCATCTCAAAAGGGTCTCCAACTAACAACTGATCAAATCAGAAGGAGATGAAGCGCCAAGAATTGGGAGTTTGACATGGGAAAAAAAAAAAGCAGCGGGAAGCAATGTCCACATTTGGTAATGTGTATGTGATCTTATGTTGAACCTTTGGTCCTTTTCACTTGGTCTCAGTGAGCTTTGCGAGACTGGCTTGGCGGAAGGCCCCACTGTCCCTCATCTCCAACACGCAGTCTCTCACCATCTCTGCAAACATGGATGGCCAGAGCTTGTGTAAAGCCTCACCCTTCAGATTGGTGTCTGATGCCCATTTGACCAATTCCTGAAGGTATTGTTCTATCACGGCGGAACGCTCCGATGACTCCACAGTGCCCTCCTGGGACGAAATAAACATATTCACAGAGTGAAACATTGCGTAGATTAATTACACAGCTGGAAGTTGCCCGAGGCACTTTGCAGATACCAAAGGAAGACCTTAACTGAAATTACTGAAATGATTAAGTGATGAGCAAAAGCAAGAGTGATTACATTTTTCAAATTCATCGGTGGCAAACTAAGAATTGTGCCAAATGGTGTCACAGTTTTAGTAGAATGGAATATAGTAGTTTTTAATGTTTGTCACTGTACACCTGTACAGTGAGATTAAAGCCAACTTCCAAACAGTGCTAGTATCAAAGAAGAAAACTAGTAAAGAAAACAACATCACAATGAATCAAAATGTACAGTTGAGAACCTGGTGCCATCTAAAGAAAGTATCTCTATTGCCCTTTCTATTGATGGGAAAAAAACTACTCCAAAGCAATGGATTTATTTGGCATTTATATATTTACCTTATATATATATATATATGACAGTTTAAATAAATGCAATAAAGAATAAAAACATAAGTATAACATTTCTTAATGCATGACTAAATGTAGAAATAATTCATTTAATTACTGCATAGTCCTGTCGTAAATTGGCCTTCTGTCAGCATTCCCACCAAAGTCAGTAAGCAGAGCTAAAGGTGCAATGCACAAATTGATTAGTCTGCATTAAGGTTGCTGTGCAGGTTAACCAATCAGATGTCCAGCTCCATCTGGCAAGCCACATGACATTATAAATTTAATAATGGATTCTAGCACATAAAATATGAAGTAATTAAACACAAAACTAACCTAATACTATATATTAAGTAATTTATTTTGTGATTGCCATCAAAAGAAAGGGCAATAGAAATATTTTCTTGAGGTAGTAACAAGTTTGTAATTGTATTTTTGATTCATTGTGATATTGTATGTTTTCTTCATGTTCTCAGGTTAAAACTGTGCCACAAATTTGCACAATTCTTAGTTTACCACAGACTGTGGTAAAAGATGTAATCACTCTTGTCTTTGCTCATCACTAGATCATCTAAGTCATTCCACTAAATGCCTGAGGCAGTTCCCAAATCCTTTAAAGTTCTGATACACACAAAATATAATTGGGACAAGCTAAAATAAAGGAAACCTAATACACTTATTGTGGTTTCATGTTTAAGCAGTTTCAAAAGCTTCAGAAGATATATGTGCAGCTGAACTGGAGCTGACCTGAATAGAATAAAGAATAGCAAGATGAGTTAAGGGTGAACTCATACGTTACTCCACTTGATCCCCCAGAGAGTTAAAGAATGTGCAGAGAACCCTAAGACAGTCTTTAAATGTTTTGGATTTGATGCTGTTGTTGACTCTGCAGGCTGCATGTTGTCTGATATGCAGCCTGTGGCAATACTTGTAGAGGTAGATCACTGGAGAAGCCCCAAAAGTACGTCTTCACATTTCAAATCAGATTCTAACCACATTTTGCCATCCGGGTTATAAACGAGAGACAAATACACGCAGCGTAAAGTCTTTGAAGTTTGAGCTTAACAGGTTGTAAATTAATGCTAAGGTTGTTTTGGAAACAGGCAGGCATGTGGAAGCTGCTAGCATAAAAATAAACCAAGGTTTTAAGTCATTTAAAACCTGAACACATTTTTCATTTTACCATTTCTCTGTGAGTCCTTTGGCTCACAGAGAAAGTGTTGGATTAATGAGAGTTTCCTGTGGCTCTTCAGAGCATAGACTATTACAGGATATGTAATGTGATATCTGTCTAAGGTAAAGGACAATTTTTCAATAATGCTAGATTTATGAGCTGATATTTAATGTTACTTAACCTCATTCTACACTATGTAGATATTCTGTATGCCCTGACAAAAATTCACTCGCTTTCGCATGCAAAATAATTTAAGTGCCTTGAATGGTGGGACAAGACATCTTTTAATAATTGTTTGACCACTTTGGGTTTTGTATGTTTTTACTTCAAACTAGTCACAATGTTGAAGAATAGTTATGTATGAAAAAAAAACTCGATTTTACACCCATCATCCTAATTAACAATGACTATAAAAAGTGGCACATCCTATGACTGAATGTTTCACAAAATGTGCATTGTTTCTTCAGACTTAGTTCTTTTCAATTATGTTTTTAAAGATGTCAACATATTTGGCAAGACATAAACAATGGGACGAGAGCTACAATAGAAATCACAGTTTAGTAGCAAAAAAGAAGTGTTTCAACACTCCTGTGATATTAGATGGCAAGTATTCATGTGGAGATATCTCTGAGATCAGTGTGACATCTTTCAAATTTGTCGCTTTTAGAAGGAGATTCCTGTCTGTCAGTCAGTGTCTGGCATTTAGTACATGTCTAGTGAAGAGGGCTAGGTTTAGCAGACAAATGTCTAGATCTATTTTTTACACCACTGAGCTTCTGTAACACCTTTGTTAATAAAAGCTAAACAAACCTCAGGGCTCTCTGGATTACAGTCTCTGCTTGGATAGTTAAAGAGCGCTCTGCTCAGGCCTTCACCCAGGAGCTTCCCATTATCCCGAAGCTCCTCTGGACTCAGCCCCGCCCGTCGACCACGCCCCTCCAACAAGAACTGCAGCTGCCTTTTCCTTCAAAGTGGAGACAGAAAAGCAGAACAAGTGAGTCAAAATAAAGAAACTGCCACACAGAGAAACAGTGGCGACAAGAGAACAAAACCAATAAGACAGCAACTTTCTCTTTTAACTATTATTTTTCTTATTCAAGAAATAAGAAAAATAAATAGTTTTAAAAAACATCAAGGGTAAACAAATTTGATTCTCAATAAAGAATAAAAACAAAAACACAAATATAATAATGGTTTGTATGAAATAAACTACATCAAATTTTTGCTATAAGTATAAAATCCTGTGTGATAAAGCTTTGTACCAACATGTTCAGCAGTGCCAGGATGCTTAAATTTTACAGAGCAGGCTGGAGGCTAACATTCCACTTTAAATGACAGAGTGTGTGAAAGCATGTGGAAGTGTATCTGTGTCAACCCATCAGTGTGTAGAAATCAGTTTCATACAAACCAGCGGGCTCAAATCCCAGCAAAGAAAATTGCTTTGAATAACAAACATGTTTCAATTGATGTGTTTCATATGTAAACACAACAAATGCTTAAAAAGCCTTTCTTTTGCTACATTACAATAAAGTAACAAAAGCTTAAGCTTCAATGTACTTAATTGGAAATTTGAGTTTTATTTTATTTCATTTTTCAAACATGCTTTGTCACAAAATTTCAAGAATCCCAGATGAAGCAGCTGGTAAGAATATGTGCCAGAGCAGCTTTGCCCGACAAAAAGTTAATCTTGAGATGGTATCCTAATTGCTTGACTTAAAAAATAATTTACAAATACAAATGTCAAAAATGCATTGTAAAATTACAATATCTGAAGCTTTGAATGTGTCACAAAGCACTGAAAATGCAAACAGTTTTGCACAGCTGCAAACCTACCGAGAACATGACTGTCAATTCAACCTTAAAAAGACTTAGAAGAACATTAAGCAAAGAAGCACCAAGCAGCCCATTTAAACTCTGGAGGAGCTGCAGAGTTTTACCAGAAAGGGAATACAGAAAACTCCTAGTCAGGTCACTATAATCAATTTGGCACTATTTAGAAAAAAGGTAACTATTGAAAAAATTAGTTACAGTGGGTTTTATTTGGTTGTTGTCAGTAAAAAGGGTTGAAAACATGTATTAATTATTAATGCAAATTTAAGAAAACTATGTAGCCTTTGCAATAATGCACTACTTTTTCTGAGCTACGACATAAAATCTCAATTAAATATATTAAATTTAGTGGTTGTGACCTGACATGGTTAAGGGGATTGAATACTTTTGCAAGGTAAAGTACTTATTCGCAGAAGGCCACTAAACACAATACTGTTCTCTGCAATAAAGATTTGAAATTATAACAACTGAATACACATGACAGCTCTGCAGGCAGATTAAGAGTTCATGATATGAAAATGACAGGCCTCAAGCTGATGAGTATAATCCAGGCGAATCCAAATGTGCACAAATTAGGTTGAGAGATGAAGTGGTGGGGGCCAAAAAGTTTGAAATGAAAGGCAGGTTGAATCTCCTTTTCTGAGAATTTCCAAGTATTCAGGAAAACCTTCATTATTTTCATTGTGAAGGTAACATTATAAAAGCCCAATGGAGATAAGGGAGGCTTTTTATTTTAAATATTTAATGTTAATGCTAATTATTATTACACAACTTTCCTGAGATTTCACAATTCCAGATTATTATTTTAATTAAAAGAATAGAACTTAGTAACTAAAATAACAAGCCAAAAGTAAAAATGTTATTTTTTCTTTAAACAAGTCCATGTTTGCCTCAACCAAGCTTTTTAAGAGCAATTTCAGAGTCATCTTGTGCGTGACAAGTAGAGCAGATTCTAGATTCGTGAGGATGTTTTTGTTGACCCAGAGTGACAGACCTTAAGACTTATTTGGCTGGAAGGAATGCTTGTGTCCAGGTGCCAAATACCCACCCTTAGCCAGAAACACAAAGTCTAATTCCTCTGGCTCCTCTGTGCCAGCCTGTGTCTCATAGCTACACACACAGTCGCAGAAACGTATACTCGCACAAAGCTACACACAGGCATGAATGCACATGCACAGAAGCCTACATATTCAGGAGGTGAAACTCATTGAAGAATCCAAACATTCTTGATTCATCTAAACAAATACTGCTTACAGCCTGAAACAGTCTACTGAGCATCTGACAGTTCTCACCTGGACTCTTCCAGCAGCAATAGGAGCCGGCAACGTGGGGTTTCAGTGGCTGCTATGTGACCCAGTGTCCCAAATACACGCTCTGCAGCAATTACATCATTCATGGTCACCTAAAATCAACAAAAGAGTTCACTGATCGCATGTTTCTATAGTTGATTTAGAACTTAAAAACTTTAAGTCTGTCTTTCGTGGTTTATGAAGTACAATAACAGTGGTATAGGAGAGCAGACTAAAGGTACATTACACATAAGAGTTTAGCTTAGTCAATGTTAATGTGCTCCTGTGAAATATAAATAACATAGTTAAGAAAGATCCTGACGTTCAGTCTGCCAAGAATAAAAATGTAGTTAGGTATAATGAGGTGTTCACTTTATATGGTTCATACAGCAAAGTTAAATAAGAAAACACCATATTCCATGTGTCTATAAGTCATTATTTGTTTCACAAAACCTTCTCATCTGTAATATATAGTTTCCAACATTTTTGGAAGGAAACAACATTTACGTTGTACTTCTGCCATTATACGTGCTGTTTTTGATGCATATGTGCTTGATTTCTAAACTGACATTAACCAATCTGTTTCAGTCAGACCCATACAACCACCTCTCAATGCAGTAATAGCAGGAAGTCTTTGGGGGTATGTTTCTACATTATCCTAGCCAAAACATTTAACATTGGATTCTTCAGACTAGGCCACCTTCCTTCACATGTAAATGGCCTGCACTTGTTTAGCACATTATCAAGTCCAGAGGACTCTAAAGCACTTCACACTACATTCATCTTCTGTTGGTGGTAAGCTGTATTGCCTACCCTGGGGCAGACTGATAAAAGTTAAGGCTGTGACTTATGTTATCTAACAAACCTTTGAGATCTTCAGCTAGATTTATATAGAGATTAAATTATACACAGATAGACCCAATTTACTTGTAAGGTGGAAGATATTTTGGGATGTCAGAGTAAAGGGAACTGAATACATATCCATATCAGTTTTTTGAGTTCTATTTGTAAAATATAAACCTAGACATTCAAGTAATACTTTCCTTCCAGTAAACAATAATGCACTAATTTCTGTTGGTGTGTGACAAAAAGTCTCAGTACCGAGGTTGTAAAAGTGGAAAAGTTCAACATGCATATGCACTTTATATACTGTCTGTACTGAAACATAAACCAGCCCTTACCTCCTGGCCATTGATTTTTTGAAGGTTGAAGTGGTAGAGACGATAGATGATGAATGAGCGCCACAAAGCCAGACTGATCACTGGGTTTCCTTCTGGATGAATGGTCAGTTGGTCCAGACGCCTCACCTGAGCCAGAGCAGCGAGCTGGGGGAGACGGCTGATGTTGGTTTCCAGAAATATCAGGTGCTAAGAAAGAAAAAACAAGTTCTACATCAATTTCTTTAAAAGTATTTGTTAAAATGCAAAAGAAAATAAAGGATAAAAATTTACTTTAGGCTAAAACTCTATTTCAGTATTTGGAAATTTAAAGTATTAAATACCTATCAACAAATGCAGAGTGACTAAATGAAATGTTTTTGTACAAAAAGATCCAAATACTTGCCAAAGAAAAGACAAAGAGTGAATGTCTAGCTAACTAAACCAATGCAAGTACCAAAAACACAAGTTTCTAAATTTTACCAACACGCAGAGAGCCTCATTTGGACACGCTCGTGTCTCCCTTCCCAATTTATTGCAAATGCAAGCAAGGATTCATAGACTAATTAGAGATGTTTTATTGGGCTTATCTTAGCTAAAATTTCACGGCCGTAACATATAACAAAAAACATGTTGCAGTTTTGAACCTAACAGAACGAACAAGGTCATCCTGAACTGTCCATCAAAGAAAATACCTTTGCTTATTTTTCAACTTTTTTTTCAAAAGTTCTTCAGTGTATATTTTCTTATTTTAGTTTTGATTTTTTAAATTATTTTTTTCCAAACAGTTTTCCATGTAACTGGTGACCTCACCGATAGATTTGGGAACTTGACTCTTATCCTAGGAAGTGTGGGAACGATGGCATCAAAGTTAATGAAGCGGAAGGCGATGACGGTGACAGCACCAGCAGTCTGAACACCCCAACCTCTCTCCAGAGCCTCCAGGGCTCCAAGTCCAAATAAACGCAGGGTGTCTCCATCAAGCTCCGCCAGATGACTGTCAGACAAGGACAAGCTCTGAACGTTGCCACTCCCTGTCTCCACAAGTCTGTAAAGAAAAACATGAAAACATTCTATTTGAAACAGAAGCGTGCTGCCTTGGGAAGTTTAAAGACTAATCTTTGAGGAGACAAAGGTGGATACAGCTGGTTAAAGAATTATAAAGGAGCTGGCTGACAATATCCTGCATGTTTTGGTTAATAGCTGCTCTCTGCTTACCTGCACAACAGCTGAAATGCTCATTTAATGAGAAGAAAGTCTTGAGAGCAGAGAATCTGAGCAAGGCTAAAGAAGATGTGTATCCAGGTGATAATTGGCAGCCTGTGTACTCACCTGTGTACTCAGGGGACATTGCTTGCAGTGATACTCTATGTATCACTGAAAAATTTGAGTACAGGCCGCCAACAAACTACATCTCTACTGCAGCTAAAAACAATACTGGAATGTGAATTAGAGTCAGGTCTTGATAATGCGGAGATGAAGCATGACATATGAAGAAAGCACACAAAAAATGAGAAAAACTTGTGAGCACCATGAATCCACTGCACTGTGTTAGATGATGTATCTCCATGATCAGGGCTGAAAGACTGCCAGTTGGCTCTGAACTCCATTGTGTCACAATGCTACAGATAAATTATGAAGGCGGAGAGCAAGCCACGGAAAATGATAGGAAAAAAAACTATGGCATCAACAAACCCTGAATGTACTTCAGTTAGCTCTATCTCACATAATCCCACAGCACTATTAAAAGTGACATCTGTCATCTCTAAAGAAGCTTAATCTTCTCAAGTTGTTTCAAGATTTCAACTCTCATTAATGAATCTGAGTAAACCTTTTTCCTCATCTTTCTATCTCGACAGATGTGTTAGACACATTCCACCTGTCTTCTGCCTTAAACATTTGCCAAATGAAAAAGACATGACCCTGCATCAGCTATAATCTGGCAAATTCTGCTCCAGTAAATCACAATTCGATAACAAAATTAACATGCTCAAAGTGGCGTCAACATTAACTTCAATGTCATTCTTATTTGTCGCCAAATTGTGGTAGCTAATGTCAAGCAGAGATGAGATCATGTGTTTTCTTTCTACATGAAAGAAAATTCCTTTTTAATCTAACGAATCTTACGATCTGTTTAAACAAACTGAGAAAATTCTGTTTAAAGAGAGAGGACATTCTGTTCTCTCCGAATGTGAGAACAGTGATCAGTTAATGCACACTGCTGCAGATTTCAAAGTAAATTTCCATTATGGCAAGAAAATACAGACTTGGTAAAAGATAAAGTAGAGAGTGGAAGGCCTATACAAAACTGAAGTTTAGAGCTCTATTTTGAAAGGTTTAATCCAATTTTGTGGTATCTCCATCTGCCCATACAGACTTACATATAATAGACATATAATAGACTTCATAGCAGCCACTTTATACCTATTTATAAAACTATGAATAGGTAGACAAAATGCAAGTTTAAGAAGAAATTGTTATATCAAAAGTACCCTAAAATGAACTAAGTAAGATTGAACAAGAATTTCTTGTGCAGATGATTATTGTTAATAAAGAATCTGTCAGCTTCCTTAACAACTAACTGCATTTAGTTGTTAAGGTGGAACATATCAAACATAACTTAAAAGAAATTTGATTTTGCAATTTGACACCTTGAAGTTGGCCTCTGTGTCCTTAAGACGCTCTTGCTCTTTCCAACACTCGGCATTCAGCATGTCATTACAACAAGCTCAATTAAGACATTAACAACCTTTCTCAGTACCGCTGCACTGAGAAGTAGTTTGTATGATAAGCTCAGCAAAGTCTCTGTTGCACCAGGTGTTTGCTAATTGTTGCTGTTACTATTCTGGAGGATCTGAGCAGGAAAGGCACAGGGGTGGGGTGCTCTGTGATGCAGAAGCTTGGCTGGAGAAATAAGCTGGAGTAGGGGAAACTTTGTGAAAGCAAGCATTTAAGAAACCGTGAATGACTGGAATTAGGATTCAAGGTTTGCTGAAACATGAGTGAAAGAATTAAAACAAAACCTCAGGTGTGTGTTTCATGAGGGAATAACATTGTAACATGATGAAAAAGGTCAAAAAATCTATTGAGTCTGTACTGGGCTGAATCATATCAGTTGTGCCTTTTCCCTCAATTGAACTATATTGCACTTTTAAAACAAAAGCATTGGCATTGAAGTTTTCTGCTTTGGGGCTATTTTTTACATCATGATGCTGGGAGGAAAGGCATTCTCTGAACCATGTAATAACATTCCTTCAGACAGCCCTTGCTTTCATCTCAGCCCTCCTCCTCATAACTCAGCCAGAGCTGGATCACAGTGTGTGCATGAGAAGCTACCAGATATCCGACGTCACAAAACAGTTTTCAACGTCGTGTTATGAAATCTAGCAGGGGAAAACCTATTTTTAACATTTCCCACATATACTTGTTTACTATCTCTTCAGGTGCATAACTACAGAAGGTCTTTTGGTCCTGAGCATGTAAATAATAGGGTTACTGTGTTACTTGAAAATATTTTAAGGTGTGTGGGGAACAACAGCTGTTGCAGATATTGACTTCAACTATTAAATGGTATTTTAGCAGCTGAAAATTTTACAGGGACATCAGTTCCAGAAGTCAAGTAACTTATCGGAAAATGTATCTCAGGAGTTGATGGGAGTCGATCTGTGAACAGCATTATTGGTGCATTAAACATGAGAGCAGCTTTTCCTTACTTTGGATCTCGAGGGCTGTTAGGACGGCTGTTGGTGCGGAGTCTGTTTTCTGGTCGTTCTGGTCCTGAACCTGGACTTATCCGTCTGTTGGAAACATGGCAAAACCTTCAGCAACATTTAAACACAATGTGTACAAAACTGACCAAATTAGTGTCACTCCTAATTTGGTCATTTATTTGCTTGTCTCACTGGTTGTGATGAATTTAAGTTTTGAGACTTTGGCGATAGAAACAAAGACCTGGGATGAAAATAGTTGTTTGAAATCATCCTAAAGAGACCACAAATGTCTGAAAAAAAAAATCCTGAGAATTTGTCCTTGTCATGACACTTACAACAAACTTGACCTAAAAATATTCATGCCTATGCCATGTCTGATAAGGCCACAGAAATTTGAACATACCGGTATTAATGTCTACTTTGGGTTAAGTAATGGAATCTCTGCTACAGTATATTGAAAAAACTCAGATTGTCATATTTTTTTCACATTACAACCCAAAAATGTTTGAAAACAAATGCACACTACACTTCTCAGAGTTTTATTTGTTAAAAAAACAGAAACCTATCAGGACATGGCTATCAAAAAGATAAGTGTTAACTATAGAAGGTACCAAGAGGTCTATGGTAATTCTACATAGACAGATTTGGAACCAGTGAAATTTGGTGAGAAAAAAGTTATTGTTCAAAAACAAGTATGTGGAAAAAGTCAGTACAAAATTCAACAATTTAATCTATGAATGATGTGTGTGGGCAAAAACTGATACTGTACATCACCCTGAACACACTATTCTCAAGATTGAACATGGTCTTAATAGAATCATGTTGTGGGAAGCTTTTATTTTCTAGGATGTGCAAGATGTGCAACATTGTCATCTTTCTGGATTTTACTTCATCCAGAAAGATGGAAAAAGTAAAATACAAGGCAATAGCAGAGGAAAACATGCGAAAGCCACACACAGACTTGGAATTAAAGCTGAGGTTAACTTTCCAGCAAACAACCAGAACTACTAAGGAATGGTTAGATCAAAGCATAGTCATGTGTTAGAATGGCACAGTCAAAGTTCAGACCCAAATTCAATCGAGAACCTGTCATAAAAAATAATAGAATTGTGTTCACGTTTATTCTCTATTCAATCTAACTGATTTGGAACTACACAAAACAGAAAAAGTTAAATATCAGCCTGAAGGCATAGAAAGCTTGCAGCTCAATTTGCTTCTAAACATAATTTCAATAGAATAAATTTTGACAGCAATGTGACAAATTGTAGAAAATTGAAAGGGGTAACGGATACATGGCAGGTTTTGCCAAATAGTGTATCCAAAAGTTTTTAAAAAAGTCTGACATTTTATAAGAAACATTATGCAGTATGCACCTTGGTTCCTCTGGAGAAGTCTCCTGTGCCAGGCCATTGGTCTGCGCAGGGCTGTGAGCAGGACTGTTCTCTGGACTAATGTCCTCCTTAGAGCCGTTTGTTGGAGGCAGCTCCAAGCAGGCTTTGACACCCTCCCACTGCTGGGCCGCATTACGGATTGCTAGACGACGCTTCTCCTTGATGAATACATCAAATACACAAACACAAAAGGTGTGACTACTGCAGTATATTGCACAAAGAGTATACATTTAGAGTGCAATTCAGTTATTAGGAGACCAAAACAAGCATTTGGTATTTGTGGTTCCGTTTGGTCAGTTGTCTGCTTTCAGCTTATTCTGCAGAATGAAGTGCATAACTTGCTACATTATTCCTTCCTTGTTCTATTATAGTTATTTCTAGATTTTGTTTCTCTCTCAAAGCTAGAAGTAAATTGGTAGCAGCAGCATTCCTGCCACTTCTGGATTATGGAGATGTTTTATATATGAATGCTTCGACCAAATGTCTTCAATCATTGAATACTATCATTGTGCTTTAAGGTTTATAACTGGTAGCAGACGTTTTACACATCATTGTGACTTGTATGCAAAAGCTGAATGGCCTCCTTTAAGCGTACGGAGAAACAATCATCTGATGATCCTGATTTATAAATCTCTACTCGGCCTAACTCCAGGATACTTAACCTCTCTCTGACATAGCTCGGTTAGTTCTCATACTTTACGCTCAAACAACATTTTTCTTTTGCATGTTCCACGTGTTTGAACTAAAAAAGGGAAGCAAGCATTCAGTGTGTTAGCTACTACAGCCTGGAATCAGCTCCCGTCTGAACTCAAGATGTCAGAAATGATTTCGCTGAATTTATTTTGAGCGGTTCTTAAACCTAGGCAACAAGTTTCTATGAAACAGAGTCACTGCTTTTAAATTGTTTTTCTATTGTTTTACACTTGTGAATATATATTAATTGAGTATATTCTGAAACAAGTTTGCTATGTCTTGCAGACTTATGCCCAGGTCCCTTTCGAAAATGAGATCCAGATGTCAACGGGGTTTCCATGATTAAATAAAGGAAATACTTTTTTTTTTTTTTTTCTAAAAAGTCAAGACAGTACTTAAATACTTCCCTGTCTGACAACATGAAGTAAGGTCTTGAAAAGCAAATTCCTCTGATAAAGGAATTCAAAAACAGATGATAAACAAAGTCATCAATATCCATCAGTCTGGAACGGCTTACAAAGTAATTTCTAAGGCTTTGGGACTTCAGTGAGTCACAGTGGAAGGAATTATCTGGAAATGGAGAATACATTAAGTTGCTCTGAACCTTCCTTAAAAGAATTGGCCGATCAGAATTACTTGAAGAAAGTGTTAACTCATCCAGCAAGTCATTAAAGAACAACATTTAAAGCAATGCAGACTTTTCTTGTTTTAGCTAAGCTTAGTGTTCAACAGCAAAATGACTCTGTAAAAAATAGTGGCGGAGACTCTGTAAAAACTGGTGTTCACCAAAGACACACACACAAGCCCATCTCACATCAGTTAGAAATATTTTAATGATGCTGAAGACCCAAGAGGCAAAAATAAAGCATTTTATAAGTGTTCATCCATGCTACATCTGGTGTAAAACCAACACAACAACAAGATTGCTGCTTCAGGACGTGAAGTTTTTAGGGAGCAATTGCTTTTCACAGGGTCAGTTTGGTTTAGATAGACTTAATAAATGATATTCTAAATAAAAAACTCATTTTGCTCATGTTACCTGATCTGGTAATCTAATGGTGTAAAACAGAAAAGCTTTTAAGAAGTCTCTGGGGGTAGGGCGAATATATTTTCACAGACCCTTCTTAAGTTCCTGAAATACAGCTTTCAAATAAGTTTTGAGATTTTGTTTTACAAAAAAGCCTGTTACATTATTTAAACAAAAAACAACTTGCATATTAATGCCACAACTGTAATACACCACTCTTTCATTGTGTAACTATATAGCTTTTAAGACAAACTAAAATGAAATAAAATTGATCAGAATAAGGCAATTGTTATATCTTCACTGGCAACGTTAGAGAAAGTATATAAAAATGAGTAAAATATATAAATTAAAAATGGTAGTAGCTATCTGCTTAAATAAAAGAATTAGACCTCAGGAAGCCTCAATATAATTAAAGCAAAACTGAACTTTTTCAATAAATACTCATCTATGTACCAAAGACAGCTAAGCAATTATCTGCAATCTAACAATCAAAATATTAGTTGTACTTAAAATTGCACATCAACACACTCAATCCATGCAGATGTTAACATCAGAACAAAGCAGATAGGATTAGTACCTTATGAATTGTCTGCTTGTGACTCTCCTTCTTCTTTTCTTCCTCTTTTCGAGTCAATACACCTGCCATGCGCCGATCCTCGTCCTGCAAAGGAAAACTGGTGCAATCATGGTGTCGCTCCATTCATGAGTTGTGAATTATTCAACAGAGCAAGGAGGGGATGAAGGGGGATCACAAAAGAGACAGTCTGGGTCTAAAAGACTCTTCTCAGCACCGGAGATCAACCACTATGGAAGCCGGGCGAGGAATCCTAACACCAGCCAACTGCATCACAGGATTATCTGTCTGATTTCCAGTCTCAGATAAACTGAGCCCAGCTGTTGTGGAAAGGCAGAACTCCCAGAATGCAATGCTCCCAAAACAATCTGAGCCTGCTGGCTAAGAGCAAGGGGATATTCAGCTTTCAGTGAAAAGCTAGCGGAGACGCAGCTTCAGATTGATCAACAGAGTTTGATCCAGTGAAATGAAAAAATAATTTCAGCAGCTGGAGGAAGTTTTGATTGGATTTTGTGAATACTGTCACACAAAATGAAGAACAAAAGATTCTAATTCTCATCTTGAAAACATGAAAGTCTTCTGTGTTAATTACTTTAGTGCTGAAGTTTAAAGCAATTAAATTCCTAGTGATTTTGTGAATAATTGCATTTATAATAACAACATTAGAAAGCATCTTCATATGTGAACTGCCATGTGACATTTAATTGGACAGTTTTTGCAAGTGAAAAAAAACTGATGCAGTGCCTTCTAAAAGTATTTTTATCCTTGAATATTTTTACATTTTGTTTGGTTAGAACTGGTCCAGACCCAAATTGTTTCAGACAATGTGACAAAGCTTTGAATGCTTTTTTGTTGACAGTGGCTCTAAATCCTTTCTGGCAGAGTGTTAGCAAATTTACAAAGCCAGAAGGGCAAAACTCTTTCAAGATGGTACATCAAAACACAATTTATTTGGATTTTTTTTTTTTCAAATATGAGCAACTTTGAGATGATCTACCATGTAAAAATCCAAATAGAATACATTAAAGTTTATGGTGTAATGAGTCAGTTTGTGAATGTAAAGCTATGAACATATTTTAAGGTGGTGTATTGCATTTCATTGGATAGTATCTGCACATAAAAAAATAAAATAGATACATTTGGATCAAGTATTTTGCTAATCTATAGAATTAAATTTAATTAAGTCAAATATATTTTCCCCTCAATAAATGAAGCATATCCAGTATATGGGCTGTTAAAACCTTCTTTTCATTTTCTCCTGAAATGTGAAATTCTTTTCTCTGTTTCATTAATAAGATTTAATCTTCCAGCACTTAACCTCAGGTCTTGACAGATTAGTGACAGCATAGTGCAGTAGAGGAATTTTTGTCCAAAGCAGATCAGGTGAAATATAATTTAGATCATTGTTAAGAGAGAGACTTAATTACTGGATGGAAGAAAAAAAATAGTGATTTCTAGAACTTTAAGCTGCAGGCAGTCACTTGCTGAAGATATTTTTCAAATCACACAGATCATAAATCTTGAAAAACCTGGTGTCGTTACACTTCAAAAATGAAAACCTGAGAAAAGGGTTGAAATTCCCTATTTATGTTTTGAGGGCAATGTCTGTGGTACTGTCAGATTCCTCTCAGGTTACAAGCTCAGTCCTGGGTTCTCACTTCTAAATACAAACTAATGCTCCGCTGTAACATATTCATGGCATGTGGTAGAAATACAATAGTGCTTCTTATGGCAATACTCAAAATACTTTACAAAGTAAAGTAAACATGATTTGTATTTCTGTACCAATCTATCTATTGTATATATGCATCTCTTTCGGTATATGCATGTATATGTGATATACATGCATATACTAGAGCTGGTGTGTTTGCATTTAAATGTTCTTAAATAATATGGTTAGTTGGGTATTAGTATCTTTATTTAAAAAATAAGGTAAAGATTATGACCCCTTTTTAAAGATATTCTGACATAATTTATCTTAGTAAAAGACAAACTAGTTTTTAATCTACAAAATAAATACATTAAAACTAAGATTTCCAGCATCTACAATGATGCCCCTACAGCACAATTTCTTTCTTTCAGTTGAGTCTCTAGAAAAAAATACTTAGTCAGCAGTCAAGATCTCTAAGGAAGTAAAGTTTCAAAAGTGCTTCTCGAATGATTACTTCTTTGTCCCATTAACACCTGAATAAGCCAATGAAAAAAGAGTGAGTCTTACTGTGATGCGCTTCATGTCCAGCTGTCTCAGGTGAAGCACACAGCGCAGGACGGCCTGCTTGTACCATGTCTCCAGGGCTACAGGATTCCCATCCAGGGTGAGCTCAGAAATGGACTGTGACTCTCCAAGGCAGGCTAGCTGATCAAAACTAGATAGAAAGGAAGAACATTGTGAGATCTTAAGAACAATGCGTCATTACACAAACCACTGAGCCATAGCTTATGCTTAAATAATGGCGCTTTTAGGCAGCCTGCAATTAACACTGAAGTCAAAGAAGGACATCTTTTACCATCTTTGTATCATAAAGGGTCATTTGTAGACATGAAGAAGCAAAATTATGATAATATTGATTATATTAGCATTTTTGTCCTTTTTATATTATATATATATCTATATATATATAATTATCAAAATAATTTTTTTCTGAAAATCTGATTACATAAAATCAGTAAATAAAGAACTTTTTAAAATATATAAATTCCAGCCTACAGAAAAGTATGTTCATGCACTGTACAGTATGAGCACTCAATTCTTGGTCAGGGATCTTTGTACATTTAATTACTACATCAGTTGTTGTAGCATTGACACAATCAACCTGCAACCTGTGCTGAGGTGTTAAGAAAGCACAGGTTGATTTAATAACTGCCATCAGTTTATCTGCATTGTTGAGTCTGGTGTTTCTCACCTTCCCTTTCTTCAGTTCTCCTGCACATAAAAATAAAATCCATAAAACTTTTCAGCTGAGGGAAGCAGGAAGTGCTAAAAATGAATTCCAGGTATATGCCTGAAGTGATTTGATAAACACAATAAACCAACAGCAGCAGACGACGTGGCTTCATAAATCTTCAACTCTCACACTAGACCTCAAACAAACTGGATTTGGTGCTAAATCTGCTAAACTTTTCATTTGTAATTGATTGTCCACTGGGCAAGTGTCCAGTCAGTTTCTGTTTTAAAAAAAATTTAATCATTAATTATGTAACAATCAAATTTTCTGAGAACCTGAATCGTTAGTTTTCTTTAGCTGTAAGCTATTATAAAACACAAACAGTATATTTGTTTGTGTATACAAATGACTAATAATTATAATATGGAGGTTTCATTTAATTTTATTCAATCTATTTAAATATACCCATTATAAAAAAAATGTACTGTAAATAATACCATTGAAATTCCTCAGTCAGTTTCAATGCTTTGTATGTTTGCAGGAAAGATGATTGTCCGATGATTGTCTTTGGACAAATTGCTCTCTCCAGGACTTGTCCCTTCTTTGTGTTATATGTTTTGTAGTATTGTCACAAATAACTCATCCATAATGACAAGTTCTGAAATATAGAATGCTGCTAAGAAACAAAGAAATGGGTAAGTGTAATTTAAAAATTGTTTAAAGTGGCCTATCAAGATTTTAAGGTCTTAAAAAGATTTTTTTTTTAAATTAAAATGTAATCCTTTTTAGTGGCTTTTTAAGATTTTTGTAAAGAAACTAAACATCACACTTTTTATGAGATTTTTGTTTCAAGGTTCTCTACTGGGTAAGATAGGGACACCAAACAAATGACTGCGCTCTGATTATCTACCTAGCAACAGAGCACAACTGTTTCTCTTTCAGTATTATATATTTTCTAATGTTTATCCCAGGCTTTTGAAACTCTTGCTTTAAATTTACATTCAGCAGGTCTGGCTTAATTAAAATGAAATAAAAAAAATAATAAAAAATAACTATTCATGCACAAATTACACATTTCTTATATACAGATTATAATTAAACTAGTATGACACTATGGAGTTAATTGGAGCTTTTTTATTTTTACTCAGTATCTGATGGTATTTATTTGTTCCTGACTACGTGTGGCCCAATGTAGAATCATGCTGACACTTGAACAACAGTGCAGGCAAGAGATGTCAGGTCAGATCTGACAGTACAAGGTTAACATGGACAAGTAGGGCTGTCCCACCATATATCCCACATTCAGAGGAGATGATGTTTTGCTCTGGCTAAGTAACACTGAGATACCTCCTTTTTTAAAGATCAATGAGGAAGGAAGAAAATAATAACATATTTCCAGGGGTGACAAAAGTGTAATTTGGGATATGATTAAACCAAAACAATGCCTACAACTTAACCTCAAAACCTCAGTAATACCTTTATTACTTTTTCTCAGATTGTGTCTTGGTTGCCTGATTAACTTTAGGCATTCATCACAACTATTTCATACATAGCATTTCAAATACGTACATTAATGTAAGTAGATTACGTCTGTATTATTATCAGTATCTGTGTGAGGCCGTATGCGTTCTGCCTCTTTTGACAGAAGCTGCCAAATCCCAGGGGAAGGGACGTGGCATAGTCCAGCCACCATCCCTGTCTCTGCTCTGTGGGAATGAGGGAGTTAAGCTATACCAGCTCTTACCTGTGGATGTTGTTGCAGCTAAGAAAGAGACGCTGCAAGCTGGCCAGGCGGTCCACCTCAGTCTAGAAAGAGAAAAGGGGAGAGGAAAGACAGAGGGATGGATGGAAGTGAAGAGAAGAGGATGTTCAGGATCAGGGCACTGCATCGTCACAGCTCTGTTTGCCTCTCCATTCCCTCAGTCACCTTGCAGCTTTTTGCTCTAGCATTCAGCATCCTCAGCCACTCTGCGCATGCACACACACACACAAACAGAGCATGCTGCCTTGTCTGCACATGGAGGGGAGGGGCAACAGAAAGAGAGAGAGAATGAGTGAGACAGCATGAAGAGAACAGTGGGGAGGGGAGTGTGTGCTGCGCTAATGCAGAGATTTCCTGCTGCAGGAGGCTAACTTGAAATGCTAACTGGGACATTTACACATCCAGGAGTACAAACAGCTAACGACCACAGAACTACATCGCACTATAAAACAAGGACAGCAAAGGTAAATTCAACAGAAAAAAAGGCCTACGATTGCTTTTACTGACTCGTCAGGTCACATTCAAAATCAATACACATAGACACAGTGAGGGGGTGGGGTGAAGAACAGCAGCTGGCCAGCTGGCATGCTGACCTGGACACAGAGGAGCAAAGGACGATATCATAAAAACATCACCTAATCAGATGTCAGAAATGTGCTACTTCATGTAGAGCATCTTACGATGTATATGTGTGTGTGTGGATGACCAGTGATGCACATGATGGGAGCAGGGAGGGCACTCCCAGCAGCAGCCTGAATGAGCTGTGTCAGCATCCACCCATCGTGCAGCCAACGCCTCACATAGCGGTTTAGATTTCCTGCCCAGCTTCTGGTATAAATTAGACTGTAGCCTAGCTTAGGTTATGCTAGCTCCTTCATTGACAGCAATACACCAATGCAGCAGATACACATTTCTTAGAGTTACCCACAGTCTACATCCATACACAAAGTATCTTTCATTCTCACTATAGGGCTTATAAATCCAACAACATAATTTTGATGGTGTGAGCCATCTGGCTTATAAGCTATTAAAATGTCTGAATATCACTAACATACACTGGTTCAAATTTGACAGTCTTTGTGTCATGTCTGAGGGTGTTTTTCTGGTATATTTTTCTTCCAAACAACTGAGAATTGTTTAAGAACCACATTATTGTTGCCCACTATCATGGCCATTCAGAAGCATAATCCACAACGTCACAAAGCTTAAATAATCTCAGACTGGGTTCTTGCATATGAAAAATGGGTTACTCCAATTGCCTTTACAATTAAGGCTATTGGAGTAACCAATCGCCTTGACTAAATTAATTGTTTGCCTGTGGGATGTGGTGGACGTGATCACGTGATCAATGTTCAGTTGCCCACTTTGTAGCAACTGTGTGACAGTCATATAAACAGAAATAGCTGAGGAAGCCTTGACACCTTGGTAAATCCAGGACAACAAAATGTTTAGCACTATCAAGCAGCAAAACATCCCCAGACCATTTCACCACCACAACCCAGTTCGATTGTCAGCAAGGCAGCCTTTTTTGAGGTTCTGTCAGTTTTAGACAAAAAGTAAAAAGATACATGCCTTACTCAAACATCCATACTCAACACAAAAAACACTAAAAATTGTATGAGCTCAGATGAAAGTAGAACAATTAATTGTACCTGCATCTATCAGTTAGAGGATCATCAAGCAAGCAACATCAAAGCTTTCCCTTAAATGGAAAAGCATACAAGTTAATAGCACCTTTTACAGCAAATTGTTGTTTGATACTACCATGTTCGATTAAGAACCTGGAATTTCTCAATATGTAGTGCCTTTTGGATCATGAGAAATTTGAGATTAAGTAATTTTATTCACTGTATTTGCCAGGGAACCTCTAATACATTTCTTTGAAAAAGTCATGCTGTCGAGTGTTATCCAGCACTGACAATGAACCTCACTCCCCAAATCCCTGCCTGTGTCATCCTCTGTGTGAATGCTGGTGAAGAAGCAGCAGCTGCATACTGTCTTTAGCTAAAAATAGCAGCTCTCTCCCAGACAGAATGATGTCATCACTGGGTTGATGAGCTACAACAATCGCCCACCAATGTGCTCTCTTTTTCAACTAACCTGATCAATTGGAACCAATCAGCTGACAGGATTTGCTGAGAGCCTGTGCACAGCTACATGTTTGTGCCTCCTTTTGTGCCTGCAGGCGTGTATTTATCTCTGTGCCTGTGCCTTCACCTTTTTTAAATCCTTGCCTCACCCTCTGCTCACTGGCAGCCTGCGTGTCTTCAATTTTCACACTTACTTTGAACTCCAGTGAATGTGCTACTCCAAAAACATAGAATAAGCTCTCACCAAAGCATGCAAAATGACACACCACAAAAGGAGAATGAAAGGCACTCAAATAAACTCCACTACAAGCGGGCCCTGATGGGAATTTTTTTTAAGTTGTTGAATTTTGTGGCAGGTCTTTCAAAAGAGTAGACATGCAATAAGATCCTAGCAAGTCTTTTCTAAAGTGTACCATGACGGCAGATTAATTCTTTGCACGAAACCAGCTTGGGGTCATATGTCAATCAAAATCCATTGGTATTCTCTGTACAATGTTGCATGCGTGTGGATCATATTTGTACTATTTGGATTGTAATAGGAATATTGTTCTTGTTGAATGATCATTTTTATAGATGCAGACGTGATTATATTCAAGCAAACAGTTTTTATGTTAGTTCCTATGTGAAAAAAAAAATCAGACAGACATGTTAAGCTAATTAATCTATAGTAACACTGAAAGTGTGCTGCAGATTGTCTTGCATTAACCATTTTTAGGCTGCTTAAATCAAGTAGCTCAGAAGATGAGAAAGCCCTTGTGCTAATCCAAAAAGATAGTCTCCTTCTGCAAGACACCTTTTTGCCTCCTCTCACTAATGCTTGTATAGACTGCTCTCTCTCTTTCTTGTTATATAAAAAGCATTTTTCCTTTTGAAGATTTGTAAAGTTACATAAATTGCTTTTTTTAATAAATGGATGGTTCACTTTGGTATCTAATTAGAGTGGTGTGGAAAAACTATTATTAAAAGTATCTGGCAGCTTATACTAACAGACTAATATAATCTTAGTACATACATAAAATCAAATCAATTCAAGTCAACCTGGCCCTATATAAAGAAGTAATTACCACCTTGTTAAACCACAGCTTCTCAGTAAATGACAGTAATAACAGAAAGCAGAGGTTTCGAGAACAGAGAAGAAGGGAAGTTATTGTCATCTATTTATCTGGAAAGGACTTTAAGCCCATTCATAAGGCTTTGAGACTCCAGCAAACCACAGCGAGAGCCAAATGGAGAAAACATGGAACAGTGGAGAACTTTCCCAGAAGTTCACCTCCCAAAATAAATTTGCCATTCTGTTTTACGTAATCAATAGTGAGTAGGAAAACTTGTTTCTTCATTCTATTGCAAATGATCTCATGTTACATTTTACATATTTCATTTTAAATATAAATTCTTGCAATGCATCTAAACACATTACAATCAATCAATCAATCAAATTTTATTTGTATAGCACATTTCAGCTACAAGGCATTTCAAAGTGCTTTACATCATAAACACAAAAATACCAAGTTTTTTTTTTCCCCTTTTTTTTCCCTTTTCTTTTTCCCCTTTTTGTTTTTTTTTTCCCCTCTTTTTTCCCTTTCTTCCCCCTTCCTTTTGACACGGAATTTAAGCGCCTGTTACCGCCGGACTCCGCCGTCCGTTTAACCACGGGTATTCGCCGGGCCCCGTTGCCCACAACAGGAAAAAAAAACAAAAAAAAAACAAATCACCCCCAAATAATTAATTCAGTGGAAAGGTAAGATTTATCCTTCAGATTTATTTTTGAGCGATTTATGAAAATTAAACCAGCTAAATGCAGCTCAACAGAAGATTAATTATTTTACATTATTATCAAAACCAGAATTTTTCATATATAATCCCTACTTTTTTCTTGTCACTGATTTCACTTTTCATCTGCCTTCCCTTTCTTGTAAAGGAAATGCCTCTGCACCTGGAGGATGCCGTTTTACTGTACTGTGATAAAAATGCTTGGCAGAAAGAAACACTAATGATAGAGACGAAATAAACTGCTGATGGATAGCAAGTCCCATCTCTTCTTTTTCAAATAACATTAAATCCAGTAATTACGGTTTCTCAGCTTGAAGGCAAAGGACAAGATGAGTGATAAGAATAGTTTTCACTCAATACACAAAGTTGGGATTTTTTTCCCCCCAGCTCAAGGAAGCAGACCAAGACTTAAGGGATTTGCATACAAATGAAGGGGCTTGTTTTGGCACGCAGGACTCTGTTTATCAGATTAAAACTATAGTAACCAAAGAGAAGTGATTTTCCGCATTTCGAACATCCAGTTTCTCTTTCACTGCACCGGAAAGTCAGTGGGAGGTTATGGATAATGACCTCTAAAGTCTCCCTAGGCAACAAAAACAGGACGGATTTCACCCCAGACGCTTGGGCAAGGACTCTATTGATTTCACTTCTGGTTTTGCTGTATTTTTAACACGCATGGCCCATTAAGTCTTATGAAAATGAGAACAGAAATCATCTATGGAAACTGAAAAAGTATATTATTTGCACCTCCACCACGTGTCAAAATAAGCATGTGTTGTTTTGTTGGGGGGGTTTTTTGTTTGTTTTTGTTGTAGAAAAGTGTGCATTAGTCCATGTGAACAAAATAAACATACACATTTAGGAATTTACTTGTGATCATTGCAGCTCTGAGCTGAGGCATCTCCATGGTGTACTGGATAAAAATAAAGCAGTGGGAAACAGTAAATTGCAGCCAAGAAAGCACACAAAACCCACCAACTCTGCAGCTGTGGTGCATTTGATTAATTATTTTCTTTCACTTTTTTGATTCCGGCCATTGAAGAGTAGAAAATAAAGTGTTAGGGTGTTTGGCAAAGACATTCATATCCCTTTTAGCTTCCCATATTTTGTATTATTACAACCAAAAATACTATTGGTAGTTTGTGTGTAAGACCATCACAAAATAGTAGGTGCAAGTAAAAAATGTTAAAAACTGTTTTACAAATTGAAAATCTTAAAGTGTGACCATCATATGTATACAGCCTCCTTTCCTCTGATGTCCCTAAATTCAATCCAGTGAAATCTCAATATTAATGAACAAATAGCATCATCAAGGCCAAGAGACACAGCAGACAGATCACGTATAATGTTATGAGGAAAATAGTGTTATAAAATAATATCCAGAGCTTTTGAACTAACACTACATATCAACCTGTTTTTAAAAGACATTCTCTGATCAAATTAACTGAGCTTGAGCTAGAAAAATTAAATGAACCAAGTTTTCACCTTCAAGATGGGCAAAGCTGAGATATACACAAAAGATTTGCAGCTGTAACTGTAATAGAAAGTGAGTCTTCAATGAATTAACTGGGGGAGTGAATATTCACATAATACACCTCTGGAAATTTCTGTGTTATTCTTTTTTATGTGTGCCATTATGCTCTAGTTAATTTTATATGACCAAATCCCAATAAATTACATTAAATTTTGAGGTGGTAGCAGGACTTGTAAAAAAGCTAAAGCGTTGTAAAGTGTTTTTCAAGGTACTCCAGCTAAGATTTTTAACTTTACTTTCATTTAATATGTAGGGAAAACAAGACAGACCACATGTGGGTAAAGAGGCTTCTTACCACCACAGAGATGCAATTGTACTGCAGGTTGAGTTCAGTCAAGGAGCTGAGGCTCTGCAAATTCTCCACACTTGAAATGCGATTACTGGACAGGTTCAGAACTTGGAGTTCACTCAGGTGGGATATATTCTCTATCTTCCTGATCTGTATCAAAGCAAATTACAAAATATTTAACACATTCAGCACTAAGTCATTTTAATGATCTTCAGATATTACAGTAAATAATTTCTGTTGGAAAATGATTCCACAAAAACTGGACAAATAGGCCAAGAGACACAGCAATCACTCTTCCTAAGGCTTTCTTGAAATCTCATATTACCTACGTAAGAGCAATAGCCGGCGTCACAACCAAACACAGTAATTATTGTATTTCAAGCAAGCAGCAATTCACCGACACCTGACTTCTGGTTGAACCTTTAAATTATAAAAACAAACATGTGGCTGGAGGCCATTCAGTGGTGAAACCTTTTACTTCCTTCCTCACCTTATTATTAGTAGGAGGGGATATTTAGGAACCATTCTGTTATTTCAAAAACTTCACATGAATCCCTCAAGGCTGTTAAGAGGCCATGAAATGTTGTGCGTGCGCTCTAAATTTCTCTCACACTGAGGAACTTTTAAAGGGCCTTCAAGAGTTCACTTTCTAATCCTTGAGATTATTCCAGTTACATGCACATGCACTAACATTAATAAATATTCTTAGAATCTGGTTTTGATTTTCAAAAAGCAGCTTCTGCAAAACGTTCCCGCTAGCTGTCGTTTGGAGAGTTTAAAAGTTCAAAGCAGATATGACAATTGAACAGATCACTGTTAAAGTAAGTTTTTATGTATTAAATTAGTTTACTATAAATAAGTTTAATACTTTTTCATCAGCATCATGCATAATCATCTGATAGAAATGAATATTTGAGAGTCCAGAACAAAATCCTATTTAACCTTATATTCACCTTCTAATTTTTATCAATTTTATAGATTACCATTCATTTTTATTCAGATTTTGTTTTGGTAAAAAAGTCTGAAGACACTGATAGAAACTGATCATAAAAGGTTGAAAGGTTGGGCTGGTTAAATTTTGAAATAATAAAAACACAATAAAAACTATGAAAAGTTACATTTATTAAAATAAATCACCTCCAGAAAGCTTATTAGTTACTACTTTCATGTGTCACATCAGGTAGCATAACAACCCAAAGACCTAGTTCAGCAGAACAGCTGTAGGATGGATCCACAGTCCCAAGGAGAGTATAGCTTTTAGAAAGCCAAAGCCAGCTGGATGTGAAACCACATCCTCCTAGTAAAATCAAATAGGCAAAAAGATTTGTGTTTGAAGCAAAGTCAACCTTCCTGATTGAGTGTGAAGTGAGAAAAGAGAAATATTGTAATAACAGCAACTATGCACATACAGAAAAAAGGCTATCAGTGTCCCTTTGTAAACAGGTACCATTGTTTAAGAACAGTAAAATTTGGACTAAAGTTGGACTAAGACTGAAAAAGTTTTAGTCTGGAACAATTTGAGAGTTAAAGAGTGACTTTGAAGTCACTGGCTCAAAGCACAGACTGTGAGAATCATATATTCATCCATAGTTTTTACTACATCCCTGCAACTATGATAGTTGTAGGGATGTTGTCGTGCTGGAGCCTATCTGGTTACCAGGAAAGAGGTTAACTTTGCTCTCATACACACAAGCACCCAAACACACTGACATCTGAGGGTAATTTAGAGAAACCAATTAACCTAACAGTACTGTTTCGGACTGTGAAAGACAATTTTCACTTGATCTGCTTTGATTTGTGACTGGCTGTTATTCTATCCATTAATGCATTAACAATTCTAAATCCCACCATTTCAATTCTATAAACACATCAACCAACACAACGTACACTTTTTGTGTTTATTAATAAAATGAAATAAAACTTCACATAGTTTGATTCATTCATAGAGTATTCTAATAATTTCTTCCTTTTTTGATGGATGCAGAATACTGCGTCAGCACCTTTTTTCTCTTTTATGTGTTATGATTCTTGTTAAAAACAAAACATTATAACTAACCAGTAAGACTTCAAAGAAAGACAGAAATTAGTGTTGGCAAGGAAAATTGTGATCAGCAAAACTCTGAGATTAATCCCTTTTCAACACCCCAAAATATGTAACAAAGACTAAAATGGTTCATAAAATCAATTAAAGAAACACTTATTCCACTGTCTCATTACCACAAATGGCTAAATGAATACATAAAATGGTTAGAGCACAAACGTTCAGGGGGCAAGAGGCAACCAACCATTCACTGTTAGAAAAAAAATAACATAACACTGTAGCAGTCATTGAACAGTAATTGAGATGCCTGTTCATGTAAAGAGCAGCCAACACCAGAAAAAGAGAAAGTCTAACCAGAGCTCTGGAGAAGTTCTCTACGGGGAAGTGTGGGCGGGAATGCTGGCACAACGCTAATTTAACCAAGGAAAACCTCTCTGTTTTATTTTGTTTTATTTCCAGGAGCTTTTACATTCTCATCTGATAATGTTTGACTTCTTCTGGCAAGGCTTGGCTCTGGAGGCCAAAGAAACAGCCCTCAAAAGCAAAATCTTTACAGAAGGAACAGTATAATCTGTGAACACTCCAAGCTGATCCCAGGGCTGACAACATAAAAACAGTTATGCCTGTTAGACAAATTAAGCTCGGATCGCTAGGGAAATAATCGTAGGAGTGGACCTGAGAAAAGACCCTGTGAATTTTTTATTGTCAATGCTTTGATTTCTAGTGCTGGTGGAAAAACTAATAGTTTAAATCTCCATAAAAAAAGCCTAACTACATCAAGCTTCAAAAAAAAAAAAGAAACAAAACAGAGAAAAAAAGAGTAAGATTTTAGAATCATGCTTTTTCATCAGCAATCAACTTGGTTGCAATGCTTGCTCTGAAAATACACAATATTGCAAGTTTTAAGCTATGAGAAAGTTTTGAGAGTAGTCCTCCCCACCTACTGCTGGCATAAAGAATCAAAACAACATTTACAAAAACTTTTCCCCACTTGGTAAATTTATTATCTGGAGGAAGTAGGTCAAGATCTACCTGAACTTTGCAGCTTTATTTCATTGTCCAGAATTGATAAATAAATAACACTGCTAAATATAAATGAGCTGTAGATTGAAGGACAGTTAAGAAACAGTACCTGATTGTCATGCAAATCCAGAATACTCAGTTTGTATAAACGTTCCAAGCAGCAAATTTTATGAATTCTGAAAGGGAAATTCAAACATTAGTTGTATACAATTTAACTGTCATCAATTCTTTTCACATTTAGTCACATTATAGCCACAGATTTCAGTGCAGGTTGTGTAACAGCCCGAAATTGTGAAGTAAAAGAAACATTATAGCACTAATTTTTGTTGTGATAAATCCAAGGTGTGGCAAGCGTATGTATTAAATTGTACTTAGTCAATTCTTTTTAGAACCAGTAATCTAGGTGTGTTATACTCTTCATTTTTGACGAAAGATTAATCAGGTTTTTTTGTTTAAATGAGAAAAAAATGTGAACATCTTTTTGGGGGATGAATAGTCTTGCAATGCAATGCAAAATTAAAACGTTCAGTAACACAAAAATGTTCCATTTTCCATTTGACCTACCTAGTAAATACAAAGAAATTCTGCATTTTACTTTAAACTGCAGAAGCATTTGTTAGGTTAAATATAACTTGGATAAATTTAACAGTGTAACACAGTTATTTTGATAACGTATACATTTTAAACAGTCTAACTTTCTATTTATGGGCTCCTATTGTGATGACCAACCTGTTCTTCCCCAGCATCAGGACCCGGAGAGAGCTGAGATTTTCAATACCATTCATATCAGAGATCTGATTATCATGTAAGTTCAAGACGGTGAGCTGCTGCAGATGCGACAAATGCTGGATGCTGGTAATTAGATTGTGCTGCAGGTTGAGAAGTTGAAGTTCTTCAATAAAACCCATTTGAGGAAATTCCTCCAGGCAACGCCTAGATAAATGAAAGAAATATATTTAGCCAGATTTCGCATCCACAAATTTTTTCATTCAGTTATTTAAAAAAAACACTTAATTTTCCTTCCTTTACAGATTCCAATGACCTGATACTTCACAACACATTGTGGTTGAAAGAATTGCTTGATATCATTGTTGTTTGTTGGACACAGGGCATAGTAATTCAAAGAGACTATGCTGCTCCCTGGTGGCAGCCTAGCCTATGTTCGCCATAAGCTTTTATCAAAAAAATGTCAGTAATTCAATTCAAAAAGTGAATCTGGTATATTATATGAATTTTTCCACATGCAAACTGAAATATTTAAAATGGTCATTTTTGTTAATTTTTGTTGCTTATGGCTTAATGAAGTCCAAATATAGAAATATAAATAAAGGTTTCTCTGTCTCCTTTATGGTGAACACAATTATGGAGAAGTCTGCTGATTGGACAACACAGTAATAAAGTATTCAACCATCTTAAAGTTGAACAGAAGAAAAAAGTGTAGTAGAATATACAGAGGAAATGGTGCCTAACAGAGGTACAAAGTTCCCTTTTCAGATGAAACTTTATTTTCAGAGAAACTGATTTATAAAGTTTTTACTGTCAGCCCTAATAATATATGTTGGCAGAAGTAAACACTGAATGAAAAAGTGACGTTACGTTCAGTACTTGAATTGCAATAAATTTCCAATGAAATGGTAATAATGGACGAGACAACAATTTGAGAAACTGGCGATGAAGGTAGTTAGAGCTGCAGAGGGATTTAAAAACAATCATTTCTATAATATAGAATGATGTTCAGCGAACTAAAATACATCAAAATGAAAATAACTTAATGTTGTTGGAAATTTTAAAGAGTACCTGTCCAAGTCTATGCGTTGAAAACTGGCAGCAGAAGTTATCTGGGTGCAGGTGAAACCTGAAGAAGCTCTGTGATTAAACCCTTGAGAACCTAGCAATGTACACATTAAAATATCAAATTATGTATTTTAGTAGCATCTAATCCAGCTTCATAAAATATGTAGTAGACTTTATTGGTACAGTATAAAAACATGCTGGAAAATGTATAATTATCTGAATGATTTTTAGAGAAAATAAATTGTTGCATTTACCTATTGGCTTGAGATGTTTTAGGCACATGTGATGACAAGTGATCTCTGCACTGTGAGGCATTCTGCTTGATCTGCCTCTAGCTTCATTTGGACAATGAAAAACTGGAGCAGCACCAGATAGCCGCACTAAATGCTGGGCAGAGTTGCCACTGGTTTTATTGTTGGAATGTAACTCACTTCCTTCAGATGACACAAAGCAAAATGCAAAAGACAGAACATCAAAGGACTAATATTATCATGTGCAACATCAACATCAACTCATATACAGAGAAGTTTCCATATCAATACATTAGGATGGCAACAAATTTTATTAAATTATTTTAGTAATTGAATTCAAAAGGTAAAATGTGTGTATTGCATACACAGAACAATATATTTCAAGCATTTATTTCTGTTATTATGGCTAACAGCAAGCAAAAACACCAAATTTTATTTAAAATACAATAATGTTATTCTATGCTCTACACAATCAAAGGTTTTCCCTTAACAGCTGTCCAGCAGTCAGTCAATGACGCATGAAGGTAAGCCACAAAAGTTCATTGCTGAAGAAGTCGACTTTTTACACAGTGCTGTATCCAAACATATTAACAGAAGGCTTAGGAGGAAAATGGTGGATATGCAACAGGCCAGTCTACTAAGAAATTTATGAGACATTAAGTGCTTCCCTCTGCTGATAAGCTTTATGGTGATGCCAGCAAAACTTGGCATCTGCCTAAACTGATAAACTGTCTTCCTGCACTTGATAATAAACACTGTTTTTTGGCCAGCAAGTTTACCTGACCTAAACCTCAGAAAGAATCTTTTTTGCTTTTTGGATTTTGGAGAGAAATGTACAAAGCTTACCTGTGTTAGAATCACTAGCTGTTTGTGTGGTACTGATGTTTGTTTCGTTATTGAAATCTTGAGAATCAGACTGAAAAACAGTAAACACAAGTTGTCGCCAGAAACTAAGCACTTAAAAACACATGCAATAGTGGAATAAAAAGTACTTCCAAGAAAATAACAAAAATATAAATGGCTGTTTGTGCAATGGATTCAAGCAGTGACTAATAATTTTACCTGAATAAGTTTCCAATAGTACTGGCTAATTTAAAACAACCAACCTTTCCCGTTTCAAATGAACTTTTTGTATTTAACAAAGAAAACTGAAAACCCAATAACATAGTGAATACTGTAATAATGCTAACATGAATTAATTTTGTATCATTCGAAGGCCGCAACACGTGATTAATGAATTACTGTTTTAGCCCCACTGATCCAACATATCTGTCCCTGACACGTCATTACTTACCATCGTTTGCAGGTTTCCCGCAACCAGTGTTTTGGCTGTCATCAGGTGCAACTTGCATCTGTTGATCTATGCAGAGGACCATTTTAGGTCGAATTAAACAAAACGCGCACATTTGCTATCTCTATCTTTTCCACACAACATAACTTTAGCTCATTTAGCACATACTATTACCGCAACGGGCAAACTGTTACAACTCATTGTCTTTACCACAGGAGTCAGTAGTAGGCATTTGTCGCTGACGTTGTTGTGCTGTTTTCTACCACCGCGTCTGGTTTTCCCGTCAGTCAACTCCGACTCCATTACTTTTCCTGAAGTTACCTTCTAAGTCTAACTTTGATCGAGGAGGGAAAAATTATCATCATTATTATTTTAGAAACGGAAAGTAAGACAAAGGCCTGTTTATTTGCTAAAATAAATAGCTGAAGTGGAAAAGTCCGGTTTCTTAGAAGCTGTTACCATAGCGACAGCTGCGTTTGACTTCCGGTGTAACTTTAAAGGCCTCCTTATGGAAACAAAGGTTCGTCCCCAGAACGGTAGGGCCATTTTATTTACCTCAAACATGGCAATTCAAATGTAATATACCCACCCACAAAAGAAAGAACTGAGATACCTAATAGATAAGACTTATTTTGACACTAGGCAACTTTGGACTAGGCAACTTTATTTATATAGCCAGAGACAATTCAAAGTGCTTGTACAACATACAACACACACACACACACCACACACACACACACACACACACACACACACACACACACGCATATATATATATATATATATATATATATATATATATATATATATATATATATATATATATATATATATATATATATTATATATATATATATATATATATATATATATATATAAGTATACACAAGTTAATTATATCATGCAAATTTTAAATGCCATCTTCTTACCCTTAATGTCGCTGTCTAGCCCAGGTTTATGACAATCAGACAACGTCGCACCTCAGAACAACAAATGGGATCAAATGAATTGTGCCGTTTGTTTTCAGCCCCTTTTTAACCAGGCGGTAATAAGCAGTTGCTGAGAACAGACAAGTGCAGATTCATCAAAGGGACATCCCACACACTGCCTGTCACAATCTATTCATGAAGCCCAGGCTGACACATGTGATGGGAGGAGATACTGAAATGTATGACTGACAGCACACGTTAAACTAAAATGTCAATTTTATCCATTTACTGCATAAATTTAAGAAGCTTTTAAAACAAGTGCTCAATAAAAGGCATTTTTCCAGCAATCAGCTTTTTGAAAGGGTCCCTGTGCATCCATAATATTTTTAGATAAAATGCTGTACTGTTTATCATAAAAATTATGCACACCGGGACTTGTTTTGATCAATAGTTAAATGTAAATATAAATGGGCTGTTTTAACAACCCCAGCTCTGATTAGTTGGCAGTGGCACAGCATGGATGCTGCTGTGACTGATTGAAGACATTTGTATGTAAGAAAAAACAAGGGTGTTTTTTATAGATATTTTCAAAAGTAAAGCATAGGTAATGCAAAATGACAAACTTTTTTTGGACACTGCTGAAGGTTATTGTGTTAGTGTTAGTGCTCATGCTGTATAAATCCACTGAGTTCCCATAGCCTCAGTTTTATGGAAAAAAGCCAAAGTTCTTAATGTGAACCATTTCAATGTGAGGAATTTTAAGGTCAGATGCCAAGACATGTTTGATTTAAACAAGCTGCTATGCTTCTGGCATGCCTTTAGAAATTAATTTGATGCAATACTATTCATAAAGCTAAAAGTAAAGGGTTAGTTGGTATTCCAGATTTATTTTTGTCACTTGTGAAGGTACTATTAATAATAAATTAATATCCTTAATTTACAAGCTGAAGTAGTAATTGATGTCACCGTATTATCAATGTAACTAAGAAGTGTGGTTACTAAAAACACAGCAATCAAAATCAAAATTTATATCAAATTAAAAAACTTTGATGTCATTTGTTTCTTAAAAAGGTTTATTTTCTTTAAAAGGGTTATATCAAAATCTAATAGGAATATAACTCACTTGACAACTTGGGTTAATTCTTATAAGCTTTTATCATTCTTTTGTGAATAACGTGAAGAAATTGTCATGTTGAGGTTTGTAAAGGACTCAGGATAATCTTTGTTTAGTGAATGTTTAGTAATAATAAAGAACAATTTGGGGGAAAAAAGGAGATTTGTATAAGAAACAAGCACAGAGTAGGCAACAGTAGAGCAAATGAAAGAGGAGGGCTTAAATACCGGGAGTGCTGATCATTGGATTAGAAACAGATGGCTCATTGGAATTGCTTGCAGGTGAGAAGGAAAAGTAGGGAGTAAACAGGCAGGCTGACAGATAAGGTTATTAAAATGGGACTCACTCTGATGTCCATCCCAAATTAATGTCTCACACTAAGCTTGATTTGCTGCTTATCCGACGGGCTTCTCTGGTTTACTGAGTCATCGTACCATGTAGACCTCTGTTAGTGTCTGTGGGATTGCACTGCTGTGCTTTCAACTCAACACAAACATCAACACAGCATTACACTGCAGCATACTAGCTACTCTCAATGTGTTTATGTCAAGGATTAAAAAAACAACAAAAAAAACACCATTTTCAAATGAAAAACACTGATATGTGGTATATGTGCGAGTTGAAAAAGGGTTGATTAAAACAATAGAATGTCATTATGCATGTGCATTATAATAAAGGATGTATGAAACACTTGAAAACATATTCTGTAATTTTAAACAATATTATTATAAAATAATGTTTTATCCCATTTTTATAAACTACATTACAATCATATACTCAATTTACAGATTTGTTAGTTGCTGTTTTTTTAATGACATCACTTTTGTAGGTCTTTAGTAAACAATGTAGTGTTTTTTTTTTCACAACAAAGCAGACTTAAAACTTATGTTAGAATCAGAACAAAAGTTAGTCACAAAGGTTCCGCAATATAGCAAGTATATACAAAACTTGATATCATTATGAATGGGGAACCTAGGAATGTTCGCTCCAAGCCTCATTTACATAAATTGAGAAACTAACATGTGATTACTCATGTACAATATTGTAGAATCAAGATCTAAGATTTAATCATATAGATTAGCTCCTGAGTCAAAGTGTAAATGATAATAATTTTTTACAGAATACAAAATATCTCAGATTTGTCATTTAACCCATTAGAATTGCTTTCTTCCAACCCCCTTCAAAATGACCTATTTCAAAAATATTCTCATCCTTCTAAAATAATGGTCCAAGTCATTTTTTGCCATTTTATTTATTTATTTATTTATTTATTTATTTATTTATTTATTTATTTGCATATGAGAAATAATCGTCCTTTTGGTGAGAGATGTTTTTTTGTTTTGTTTTTTGTTGTTTTTTTGTTTGTTTGTGTGTTTTTTTGCCAAAATCACCTTTGGCAAAAACAATTAGTTAGGCAGTTAGTTTTAGAAAGTGATGACTTTAGAAAAATATTGCAAGGTTAATGGCCTAAAAAGAAATGCATCAATGCCTGTCACTATATGTTAAACCTGGAAAGACAATCTTATCTTTTAAGAAAACAACCTCCAGTTTATAAGAGATAAATTGAGACTGAATGATTTTGGACTGAGAGACTGATTAGTTTATGAAGTATTATGTATTTTAGAGTAGCTTATTCAGTTGCATTGATTTAACTGATTAAAACAAAACAAGGCATGCCAATAAATGATGTGAAAGTCTTCAAACAAGTTGGCAGGCTGTCACTTGGTTTGAGGAGATAAGTAGGCAACAATCACCTAAAAGCCTGTAGGAAATTTGCTGGAAGTTACTTTATCACACCCAAATCCCTCTCACTTTCTTTCCCACCATGTTGCATTGAACACAGGCTGGAGCAGTGTATGGCATGTGGCGCAGAAAATGACTCAGGCTGCCCACCAGCTGCGAGCCCAGTTTGGCAGTGGGGAGGAGCAAAGCTACTTCATGCAGAGCTGGCAACAGCCAACAACACCGGTGTGGGGGTTGTGTAGCCATAATGGAGAGAAACAATGTCAAGCTGTTGAAATAAAGTTCAGCATCAGATTTATTGGTCATGTATGTGACACACAACAGGATTTTTGCTCTCTCAAGTAGCACAATAGTAGCACAATAAAATAAAGAATAAATAAATGAAAGAAGAAGGCAAAATAAATGTAGGAAAAGTGCAAATGTAAATAATCGAATCTGTACTATTCACTGTCTTCCACTTAACAGAGATAAAGGTCACAGGGTTAACCCTCCAGGGTAGCAAAAACATCCGTATCTCATTCTGTTAGGCAATTCTAAAACGCAGTGCTAAAAAAGGTATTTGCCTTCCTGAAGACTTCTTCTGTTTTCTCTTTTTGTCCAGATTTAAATCTGATTCAGACATGTGGAATGACGTTATGAAGGGTGTCAGTGTGAAAATAAGCCTTCCAAATTTCTACCCAAAAAAAAAAAAAACTGATGGGAGTGGGATTCTGACACTGTGATCGAATTTCCCTTTAACACAAACACTTGACAGCAGTTGTTTCCCCTCAAAAGTGGCCAAAACTGTTGATAGGTTTACAGGGCAAATATTTGGATGCTTTCTTTCAGTTAATTAAATGAAGTTATAATGTGCATTATTTTTCTGTGATAGTGCAATTTATTTGAAACATTTAACAGGAACACAAAAGCTACATTTATCAGAGAGCAAATACTTTTTACAGCAACGTACAGGTGGGAGTTGGACACATGGGGGAACATGGAAAACTACCAGACAGATTCAAAATGTGCTAACGATTAGTGCAAACGCCTACACCTCTGCAGCCATAAATCCATACATCGATCAATGTTCAATACCTGCTTCATCTTAAAGGGTCTCCGGAGGGGTCCATGCCTCTGTTCTCTGTTCCAGATCAATGTAAAAAGAAATGTGTAATTATACACAGGAGACACCAATGTAGCTGGAAAGTTTCCGCAGCGGAGTTGATAAACTGATCACATTCAGAAAAAAGGGGCAATGGATGTATTGCAAATATATCTCAGTTAATAATATCAATATTACAATAATTTCTATTGGCAGATTAAGTGCTGTAATGTTCCTGTTTTCCATTAAATATATAGTATTACCTTGCATTATTAAAGGTCAATTCAGCATAAAATTCACAGAAATTCAACCAGTCTATATAAATTATTTTATCTTTGTAGAGTTTAGTGCACTTCAGTGTATTTTTTAATCGGAATTTCAAATTATTCTACAGAAAAAAACATTAAAGTTTAAAAACAGCATAGAAATCCTCTTTTTAAATCAGAAATGTGAACAAAATAGGATATCTTGTAGCAATGGTGTGCTTTTCTTAACTCGTTTGAACACATGTTCAAACGCGCTCAAACGTGTTCAAATAGAAGACAGCAACTTATGATTCTAGTGGGAAATT